TCCTGTTAACGGGTCCTTGGAGGGTGGAAGCTTGACGATGAAGTCCAAAGCTATTGATTTCCACGCTCCTTTTGGTACTGGTGTCGACTTGAGTTGTCCGTATGGCAGATGCCTATTGGATTTTGACTTGCTGCAAATGTCGCACTCTCTTACCACTGTCTCTACCTGCTTCCTCATACCTGGGAAGTAGTAGTGTCGGGTGATTCGTTCGAAGGTTCGTGTTACTCCCTGATGACCGTGTGCTGGTAACGAGTGTTGTTCTTGCACCAGCGGGCGTCTCATTTGACTTGGGACATACACTAACCCTTTGTATCGAATCAATCCTTGTTCGTCGATGGCGAAGTCGCCTTCGACTTTGGACAAGACTCGCTTGGCGCATTCGTCTGTTGCGTAAGCTTTCTTGAGTCTTTCCTCGAGTTCTGTATCTTCGATGACTGAGATCGTCGCTAGTAACTCGTTGTACTGTATTCCTGCATCTGTTTTCTTCAGAATTGCTCTAGGTCTTTCTTCCTTTGGGCCGGCGTAGTCGGTCCGTCTGCTGAGAGCATCTGCTCTTGCATTCTCGGAGCCCTTGCGATAGGTTATCGTGAAGTTGTAGGCTGCGAGGGTTTCTGCCCAGCGGACTTGTCTGCGGTTTAAAACCTTGGTCGTGGTGAAATATATGAGGTTCTTGTGATCCGTCCATACCTGCACAGGGTAGGTGGATCCCTCAAGATATACTCGCCACTGCTCAAAGGCAATGACAATAGCCAGTAGCTCCTTGTCGTGGATGTCGTAATTGAGTTCCGCGGGTGACAGTTTCCTAGAGTAGTACGCGATTGGTTTGAACTTACCGTTCTCGTCTGGTTGATTCAGACATGCTCCAATTGCGAAGTCAGAAGAGTCCGTTTCGAGGATGATCTTCTTTGCAGGGTCAAATGTAGCAAGGATAGGTGCTTCCGTGAACTTCGTCTTAAGTTCCTGGAAAGCAGCCTCTGCCTTGTCCGTCCATTTGAATTCGAGATCCTTTCTGGTAAGCTCCGTGAGTGGTTGAGCTACCTTGGAATATCCCGAGATGAATCTTCGGTAGAAGTTGGCGAAGCCTAGGAAGGCTTGCACTTCCTTGACTGTGGTCGGTGTTGGCCATTCCAACACTGCCGTTACTTTTGCTTGGTCCATCTTGATGCCGTGCATTCCAATAATGTAACCCAAGAATTCGACTTGGTTTTTATGGAACTCGCACTTCTCTGGTTTGAGGAGTAAGCTGTACTCCTTTAGTTTCTTCAGGACAAGTTTGACATGCTTGACATGCTCTTCCTTGGTTGCTGAATACACCAGGACGTCATCTAGGTAGACAATGGTAAAGATGTCTAAGTATTTGTGCAAAGCATCATTCATCAGTCGTTGCATGGATGCGGGTGCGTTTGTTAGCCCAAAGGGCATGACTTGATACTCGAATAGGCCATAGCGGGTGCGGAATGCTGTTTTCCACTCTTCCCCAGCCTTGATTCGGATCAGGTTGTATGCTCCTCGCAGATCTAGCTTACTGAAGATCTTTGCTCCTTGAAATCTATCGTGTAGTTCGTTGATTAACGGCAGGGCATACCTGTCCTTGATTGTGATGTTTTCAACGCTCGATAGTCCACACATAACCGTAGGGAGCCGTCTTTCTTTGGTACGAAAAGCACTGGACTTCCTGCGGGTGATGTGGATGGTTTAATGAATCCTTTTGCTAGGTTATCATCAATGTACTCCTTGAGTATCTTTAGCTCTTTTTCTGATAGCTGATATATTGGTCCGAACGGTGGACTCTTGTCTTTCTCCAAAGGTATCTCGTGATCCCATGGTTGGTGCTTAGGAAGCGCCTCGTTCTTAGGGCCTTCCTGGAATAATTGCTCGTATTCCTTGTACTCCACCGGTATACTCGTCGGTGAGGATGCCTGGGCTAGGTCATCGAGCTCGGAGGTTGCACATAACTCCTTCCGGCCCTGGGAGGGTTTCTCCCGTTGTCGCGTGTCCGTCCGTTGTTCACACACGCACTGGCTCATCACAACTTTCTCGTTCCACCAGTCGATCTGGGGGTTGTGTTTCTTGAGCCATGCCCGTGTAGCATGACCATTTCCAATGGGACCGTTTCGTGGGTCACCATTCCTTCATTAGTCGAGATGGGCTCTCCATCTACAACCATTAACGGGTATGGTTCGGCTTTCATTGTTGTTTTGAAGCCCTGTGTATCTGCTACTTTCTTTGTCATAAAGTTGCCCGTCGCTCCGGAGTCAATCATTGCTCGGAGGTGTCGCTGTTGTATTTTAGCGACCACATATAGTTGCATGCTGCCCGTCGTGGCGCATAGCTGGTCTGTACTAGGCCTCTTCGTGTCGCTCACCGGTGGCCTACCGTCGAGGACTCCTAGTTTTTTGACTCGTCCGAGGAAGGATAGTATTCATCCGCTTCCAATGGTGGTCCTTGGGGAGATCGTTTCCCTCGCTCTTCTGCTTCGTCTAGCAGATGTGGGTATTTCTCGTATACCTGTTTGCTTTTGATAGGCAAGTCCCCTTCAGACTGGCTTCGCCTGAGGGCGTGAACTTGCTCTGCGTCTCTGAAGTGTATCCTGGGCGAGGATCGGGGAAACAACTGATTCTGGTGTTTCTTTTTCCAGTGGAGCTTGCAGTCATCTTCGCTGCAATACTCCCAGTAGACATACGCGTGCCAGGGATGATCAGTCTCTGTTGCGTCTGTCGTTGATAGTTCCCGCTGTCCTCTCACCCATGCACTATCTTCCCTCGGAGGCGTGGAGAACGTGTCTAGTTGCTCCATGGCTCTCCTTTCGATGCGTGGAGTGGGTCTCGCATTTTCCCGTCGCAGCATACCTCTGGCTTTCTCGTCGTACTTCTCCAGGGCTCTCCTGTGGTCCTGGTAGTAAAGTTCGACACTTTTCATATACTTCAGTTTTGCCATATGCTCGACATCCTTCTCCAGTTCTTCCGCTTCTTGGGCTTCCAACTTAGCTACGTCTGGGGACGTGCCAAGCAGCCTGCGGGTATTCGTTAGTTGGTCGTAGTATCTCCAGAGGTCATCCTTGCAGTCGTCCACCTTGCACTCTAACAGAAGTCCCTGTAACAGGTTCCCGTAGATGCCCTTAAGTGTGGGGATTCTCCTCTGGCCGCTGGGCTTGTCTCGTTCGGCCCTAATCTTCGCGTGGGCGTGTTTTGCCATGCGTCTTACTACGCTCTTGCACCGTGGACTCATTGGTTCCGTAGGTGCGAGTTCGTCGAAGGTCTCCTGTTCCGAGACGGTGAACGATTCCGCCTCCGACCCTTCATCTGAGCTCTCGTCTTCTGGGGTGCTTTCGCCGTTTATTCCCCAGTCCTGTTTGCTCACAAACGTTGCGTTCAACTGTCCTGTCCAGGTGGCATTGAGTTGTTTGCCGACTTTGCATCCGCCGTTCCCTTTCTTTGGCTGTCTGCAGTCTCGGGCCATGTGGCCTGGCTTGTCGCAGTTAAAACAGAGTCGTTCCTTGAATTGTCTGTCTTTCTTAGGGTCAGATGCATTGGGTCCGACCAACGGTTGTCTCGCGGGTGTTGATCCCGTCGTCTGCCCTCGTTTCCCCGGTAGGGGTAACTTTTCTTGGGCTTGTCATAGGTCCGACGTTCCTTCTGGAATTCGTATAGTCGATTGTCGATTCGGACCGTATGTTCGATTAGCGCTACCATGTCCGTTGGTTGTTGTTCCAAACGGGCAAGTTCCATACGTATATGGCTCTTTAGCCCACGTCGGTAGTGGCTGATGAGTGCGCTGGCGTCCCATCCTGTCTGATTGCCGTATCTCTGGAATTCTGTGGAGTACGTGAGGGCGCTGCCAGTCTGCTTAAGTGCAAACAGATGGTCTTCCGCGGTCTTAATCTCATCGATGTCTCCGAACATGCGTCAGATTTCCTTACAGAATCCTTTCCAGCTGCCAAACATAGTCTGCGTAGTTGCCATGCTTCCATTGGTACTCTCATATTTGAAATAATCCTTGAGGAATGGTTCGATCCATCGCAGGGCTTCCCCCCTAAGGTAGGACGCAGTCCACAGGGCATAGCTCTCCTGGGTGGGAAACTTCTCGTCATTGAAGTGCTGGTACAGTTCGACCTGTAGCAAAAACACCTCAAGTTCCTTTCGGTTGCCGGAGTAAGTGTCGGGCAACTTGACGCGTAGAGTTTCCTTGAGTTCGTTGACGGTGGGTGCGTCGGGCATCTCCTCATTCTCAGGCTTAGACCTCTGAGACGAAGTTGGCGTGGTGGGGGTTTTCCCCTTCGAACTGACGACAGACATGTTGCTTTGTGTATGAGCCAGTGCCTCGTAGAAGTGGTGCTCAAAGTGTAACGCTGACTTCTAAACGATAGAAGACACAGAGGTTCTCTTGCGTAAAGGTTTACTTATCAGAGGAGGCAGGGGATCAGACACAAAGGCTTCAAGTAACACGTTACTAGTATATAACAAATACTGTATTGAGTTGAGCACGAAGCTCCTATCTAAGGAAATACTATCTACTTATATAGTGGCGTCGTGCCTAGTGGACTCTTGGGAACTCACTCGAGTCCTCGGAGTCCTGGACTCTTAGGATTCTTCTCATCATCCTGCGAGTCCGTCACGTGCCTAGTGGACTCCTGGGAACTCACTCGAGTCCTCAGAGTCCTGGACTCTTAGGACTCTTCTCATCATCCTGCGAGTCCGTCACGTGATACTTTCGGAACTACTATTCCCCGCTGCCCCTCCAGGTACCAGGGCCGGTCTCATGCGACCTCCCTCCTTCCTGTCCTGTAGTTGGCCAGCCTTCTTGTTCCGTCGTAACAGTCATATCGGCCCAGTAACTAAGGAGTAATGACGTGTAATGAATCATAGAGGGTTGTAGCAATCGTTGAGTAGTATTGCTCTTGTTGTTGGTGTGACAAGCCAAAATATGTATAGTGACTTGTAGGTTTGAGGAGGAGATTTCTAAGTTTGCTCTTGAGTTTGATAGCAAACTGAGTGCAACGAATGTCAGTATGACATATATCCTTATTTAGTTACCGCCTTCGATCAGGAGCGATGCCGGAACAACGAGCTAAGCTTCCCGTCCAAGAGCGGCGAGTCGAGCTCCCGAGGACCCGCTCGTCTGAGCTCATCTAGGTTCACACCCGCTGAGCCCGGAAGAACCCAACCGCCGAGGCCTACAAGAAGCCCTCTGGTCTCCTTCCAGAGGACTCCTTTTACGCCCACGGCCCCCAAGCCGGACATTACAGGCCGCGTGCGGACCGCCGTGCCGGCTACGTCCGGGAACTGTTTCAAGTGCGGCAAGCCGGGCCATTTCCAAGACAAATGCCCGCTCAACCCCACCGTCAAGGAGATTGACCGCGAAGCCCCTGAGGACGAAGAGCAGTGGGAGGAAGCAGTCGCCCACCAGTCGGATGCGTCCCTGGAGGAAAACGACGAGGCCTAGGGAAAGGCTCCTTCCTAGGTCTACGCAAATGTGATCTGCAAGGACTGGATTTACGAGAGCTCTTGGGAGGCTCCCAATTTCTCGTTGATACAACCCTGAGTATGAACGGACTCGGGGTGCAAACGAAGTCACTCGCAGACACAGGAGCAAATGGCTACCTCGTCATTAATAAGCTTTTCGCGCAACGGTTGTCGAAAGCGCTTCAGAGCCCCATACGGAAACTGCCCTACTCTGTACCCATACGTGGATTTCAGCGAAATATCCAAAGCTACGTATCGGAGTATATTCGGTTACACTTGACAGTCGAAGGACGCCGAATATATAACTGCCCCTTTGTGCTCCTAGATCTCGGAGCGCAAGATGTGATAATTGGGAAGAAGCTTTTTAGCCGCTTCCGAATCCTACTCGACTCTGCAAAGAGCCTGCTAGTATGGCCAAAGGAGTACCCGCCTACTCCTAGCTGGAGCAAAGAGATCACCTTGCCCTACCACTCGCGTGAACTGTCTATACGTCACCCCGCCCATCAATCGGATGCGAACCGGCGGGACGATGCCATCGACCATGACGACAGACGACGTGAGGGCGGACGCTCGATACCAATGAAAGTGATAACGGCCCATCGTGACGCTATTATGATCACCCCACCGAGCCCGGTGCGAGACGAGGGAACGACCCACCCGCACCCCAAAACCCCAAGGACACGAGCCTCGCCCATGGAAACCTATAAAGACGGACCCTTAGGGCAAGTGGAGGCGAAACCTCCAAGAAACGGACCATCCGCATATGAGAGAAAGAATCATGGGAGGAGCGGAGTCTTCTCTCTTTCCCGACGCCAGACCCTGGTACGCAGCTTCACGCCGGTCCAAATTTGCGAGATTGGCGCAAACGCTTTCCACTATGAGATGATGCGAAGCGACTCCGAGTTCTTTACGACAAGCATCTACGAGATCGACCAGATCATCCGAGAGAGGGAAGCGGCCGAGGACGAGGAAACGCTCCGCCTCATTCGGGACAAGCTTCCGCATATGCACCGCAACTATTCCGATGTCTTCTCGAAGTCGGAATCTGATCAGCTTCCCCCGCATCGCATATACGATCACAAGATACAACTAGAAGCCCCTTTACCAAATGCCTTTTCGCCACTATACCGACAAAGCACCGAAGAGCTTAAGGCGACTAAGCAATACCTATTAGAGAACCTCGAGAAGGGCTTTATAGTCAATAGCAATAGCCCGTTTGCCTCCCCTATACTGTTCGTGAAGAAGGCAGATGGCAAACTGAGATTTTGTATCGACTACCGGAAGTTGAACGGACTTACCCGTAACGACCCCTACCCTATCCCGCGTATCGACGAACTACTAGGACGGGTGTCGAAAGCAAAAATCTTCACGAAGCTAGACATTAGGCAAGCCTTCCATCGTATACGAATGGACCCCGACTCCGAGGAGTACACGACCTTCCGGACTCGGTATGGATCCTACAAATGCAAAGTGCTGCCGTTTGGCCTAACGAACGGCCCCGCAACCTATCAGAGGTATATGAACGACGTTCTTATGCAATACTTGGACGACTTCTGTACTGCCTACCTAGACGACATCCTAATCTACTCCGAGGACCCCGCGGAACACATGGACCACGTACATAAGGTCCTCCAACGGCTTCGAGAAGCAGGACTACAAGCCGACATTAAGAAATGCGAGTTCAACGTAACCCGGACAAAGTATTTAGGCTATATCCTGACTACTACCGGTGTCGAAGCGGATCCCGAGAAGATCGAACCCCTCCGGAATTGGATCCGGCCAACAACTGTCACAGGCGTGAAGTCTTACCTTGGATTCTGCGGCTTCTACCGCCAATTTATCAGAAATTTCGGGAAAATAGCCAAGCCTCTCACCACTATCACCAGCCCCTCAGAACCGTTCCTGTGGACTGACGAATGTGAGAACGCTTTTGAAGAAATGCGCCGACAGCTTTTAGCCGTGCAGGCGCTCCACCACTTCAACCCCGAATTGCCTACGAAGCTGGAAACAGACTCTTCTAATGGAGTCGTAGCCGGTGTCCTTTCTCAGGAACACCCCGACAAGCGATGGTATCCTGTAAGCTTCTACAGTCACGTCCTATCTGGGCATGAGATCAATTGGGAGATCCACGACAAGGAACTGTTCGCCATCGTCAAAGCGTTCACAAAATGGAGGCCAGAATTAGCATCGGTACGCCACCGAATCGATGTCTATACAGATCACCGATCGCTGGAATACTTCATGTCGACGAAGGTTCTCACGGCGAAGCAGGTTCGGTGGATGGAGCTACTCTCTAACTTCAATTTCTCTATTGCGTATACTGCTGGCAAGAACAATCAGAAGGCAGATATACTGAGCCGAAGAGAGCAAGACCTGATTACGCAACAGAAGGTCAAACTCGACAGCCGTGCGAGGGTGCTGTTAGGCCCAGCCCGACTACACTCCCGAATCAGTGCCGAATTAGCACAAACGTACGTGGCCTCGATCAATGCGATGGACGCCCCGAACACCCAGGTCCCCTTTGACCTGATAGAAGTGCTCTGCGCGGATAATAGGAGGTCGTTTACCGACACTCGCGTGAAAGACCCCCTACCTAACGGGTTTATAATGAAGGACCAACTCTTGCTATACAAAGGTCGACTGTGCGTAAACCGGCACACCGAGTTATGTACGAAACTCATACGGGAAGCACACGATCAAGTATCAGTAGCCCACCCTAGTGGCAGGAAAACTTATCAGTTACTCGCCCCGAAGTATCATTGGGTCGGAATGGAAGCGGATTGCCTCCGATATGTGCGCAACTGCGTGACGTGCCGACTTTCTCACACTAGCGTGACGAAGCAGCAAGGCTTCTTACACCCCCTACCGGTACCCGAATACCCCATGCAACACCTAACGATGGACTTTAAGGAATTCCCAAAGGATAAACACGGATTCGACAGCATCCTTGTGTTCATGGACCGACTCGGTAAGGGTTCGGTGTCCATACCGTGTCATAAGACCACCGATGCCCGCCAAATGGCGCAGCTATTCATCGAATGGATATATCGATTCGGACACACCCCAGAGTCGATCATTAGTGATCGCGGACCCCAATTCATATCAGCTTTCTGGCGAGAGTTCTGCCGAATCATAGGGGTCAAGATTAAGCTGTCGACAGCCTATCACAAGCAGACCGACGGGCAGACGGAAATCATGAATAGGTATATCGATCAGAGACTGAGGCCCTTCGTATCACATTACCAGGATAACTGGAGCGAGCTCATTCCCATCATGGATCGGGTGCAAATGACCCTTCCCCATGCCTCGATCGGAATGACCCCCTACCGACTCAAGTACGGAACTGATCCGCGCACCAGTTGGGACTGGGAAACCCCGAAAGCCACGACCCCTAGGGAAGTCATGAACCAGAAGGAAGCCAAAGCAGTAGCAAACCGCATGCACTCCGCATGGATTTACGCAAAGGAGAACATGGCCAAAGCACAAGAGGATATGTCTAAATACGCGAATCGACGCCGACGAGCCATTGACTGGGACGTAGGAGACAAGGTTTACCTATCGACCAAGAATCTGAAAAATCACCGCCCTAGCCGTAAGCTGGGGCAACAATGGGTCGGACCCTATACGGTACTGGAACAAATCGGACACGGCTTCCGACTAGACCTACCGAAGGGTTCCCAAATACACGATGTCTTCTCTCCAGACGTACTCATCAAGGCTCCGAATAACCCGCTGCCCGGTCAAGCAGCGCCTGAGCCAAGCAGCGAAGTCGTAGACGGCCTAGAGGAGTGGGAGGTCGAAAAGATCCTCGCCGTAAGGATCCGGCGAAAACAACTTCAATACCAGGTATCCTGGGTCGGATACGATCCGGACCCGGAATGGTACCCCGCCTCAAACTTTAAGAACTCCCCCTACAAAATCCGGGAGTTCCACGCGGAGTACCCAAACCTGCCAGGACCACCGCAGGACCTACCCGGCTGGATCACGGAATGGGAGACAGGCAAACCAAGCTACGATCACGAGAGGCACGGCAAAGCAGAGGAAAACAGCGTCGTTGCTACCTACGACACTAAACTAAACACCCTCTAAGCCAGGGCACCCTCAGAGCCGTAGCCCTTGCGGAAGCCACCTGTTACGACGGAACAAGAAGGCTGGCCAACTACAGGACAGGAAGGAGGGAGGTCGCATGAGACCGGCCCTGGTACCTGGAGGGGCAGCGGGGAATAGTAGTTCCGAAAGTATCACGTGACGGACTCGCAGGATGATGAGAAGAGTCCTAAGAGTCCAGGACTCTGAGGACTCGAGTGAGTTCCCAGGAGTCCACTAGGCACGTGACGGACTCGCAGGATGATGAGAAGAATCCTAAGAGTCCAGGACTCCGAGGACTCGAGTGAGTTCCCAAGAGTCCACTAGGCACGACGCCACTATATAAGTAGATAGTATTTCCTTAGATAGGAGCTTCGTGCTCAACTCAATACAGTATTTGTTATATACTAGTAACGTGTTACTTGAAGCCTTTGTGTCTGATCCCCTGCCTCCTCTGATAAGTAAACCTTTACGCAAGAGAACCTCTGTGAGTTCTATCGTTTAGAAGTCAGCGTTACACCACCCTTCCCAAACGTCTCACCGGCGTCGCAACAAGCAGCTACCACCATGAGAGACGAAGGGTCGAAGTGACCCCACGCGAAAGACCACGCCCGAGTTCCCTCCGACACAGGGCCTATCACCCAAGGTCGACGGTCACCCCCTCCTCCTCCACCTCCGCCCCCCTCTTCCTCTTCTTCCCCCCACCACCGCCCACCTTCGCCGCCGCGGCGAGGACGTCGGGGATCCTCTCCACCAACTCCCCCACCGCATCCACCGCAGAAGCCACCCCATCAAGGGCAGCGATCTCCTTCTCCTGGTTCACCAGGATCAGGGCCGATTTCTGGCCCACGACGGCCACGGCCTGGCGGACCCGCTACGGTCGTCAGCGCGAGAACCAAAAACACACAAGGGAAACGGAAAACTTACCTCCAGACCGTCCTCGACGGCGGCGCGGAGGGCGCAACTCTCCATATAGGCCGAAAGCTCGGCCGGGGAGCGGAACTTCGGCATATTGGCGGTGGCCAATGTGACCACACGCCCAATCTCCGCCGCAGCAGCCTTGATGGCGGCGGGGATGGGAGGGGTTGCTGCCTCGGTAGCCAGGAGCTTCTGGTACTCCGGGCCAGCAAACCAGGAGATCTATCTCCAGAGGTCAGCGACGGGCAGACAGACAAACCACAAAACCGAAAACCAAACGAGAACCCACCGGAACACACGTTGCGTGTTGGGCCACGCAGCGCTCACACTTGGAGCTTTCCAAGCTCCACACACACGAGACGGCGGGATCTCCGTCCTTCTTGCGCCCTTTGGCGCGCACGCAGCGCATACACTGCTGGCGGAAAGCCACAGTGAGGGCGCCGGGAGGAGGGGGAACCGGCATCTTCAAATTGGAAATCTGCGATTTCCCGTCAGCCCAACCCAAGTTATCACCACCGCGCCAGCGCGGTTCCGTCACCTATCAAATCGTTCGTTGTGTTTTTGTATCTAAAAACAACCTGTTAGCATCCAGCTGTACCATCGGAAGGGCCACTTACCAGTCTCGGGAGGGGGGCTCAGCGTCGTTACAACAAGTTCTGGGCGAAGCTCGAATTCATATTCTGGCTTATAACAAAGCCGTCCAAATCGGGTTAGCGTGAAATTTCCCCCTCGACACATACCGCGCGGACCCTATTCGATACCAATACGGACCCTCGCAACACTAATCGCCGCGCACACAACAAAGACGCGACTTTGCGCAAACGGATTCAGACCACTTCCAGTGCCTATACGGCCGCCCACCATCAGCCTTCTGGACAAACAAAGGGCATTCTAGTCTTGGCGCCCGCACCTCACCCACCAACCCAAACAAGGGCTCGTCGCGGCAGCTACTCGGCTTGCGTGCTTTGAGGACAAAGCACCTTCTCAAGGCGGGGGGTAGTGTAAGGATGCCTCCTTACTCGGGGTAGTTACGGCCGTCACGTGGCGCCATCGAGACTCGGGGCCGTTACGGGTCAGTCGCGACTGACAGCCTTAGGCACATAACGTAAGGAAGCCTTAGGCAAACAGGGAGCTAGCTGAGTCGGAGCGGTTTCGGGTATTTTAAGGGAACAGCCATACAGGGTGACACCTTCATCTTTTTTGTATCCTTCGTAGTAGACCTATAGGATAGAATACAGCATCACCTCCGACTCGCACTCCCATATGCACCTACGGAGAGCCGTATTCCCTGTGTCCTTACATTATCATTACATCAATAGAATGGCAAGTGTTACATGGACTAAAGGTGTTCTTTAAGATATTTGTCAAACCAGCAGAGCAAGTTCAAGCAGATAATTATCCAATGTTGAACGTCTGTATTCCACACTATCTACGGCTTTTAAATAAGCTTAAGGCAATGGAAAACGCTCCATCGACAACAGCAGCAATCAGCGCAGCTTGTAAAGCATCGTATAATAAGCTTGATACTTATTATAACCTTGTGACAAATCAAGGCTCAAGCCACTCATCAATTGCTACTATCTGCGACCCAAGATTCAACTTAAGTATATACGAATTTTATATGCCAAATAGTGTAGACGCTGTAAAACGAGATAGGGCAAGAGCACAGTTCACAGCTTGCTATAACCAGTATAAAGACCATGAGAACGATATACAGGTTGCTGCTATTGAAGCTACTATTGCTGCTGAAACTGAGCAGCCGACGACTCTAAGAGAACTTGATTCTGACGACAAGATGTATCAGCATCGTGGGCCTTCTATTGAGGAAGTTGAGTGGCGACGATGGTTCAAAGAGAATGGTGTCGACCGTAATACTAATATCCTCAAATATTGGCAGGCAAAGCAGTATCAGTATTCAGTTATATCATGGATCGCACGGGACTATTTGGCAATTCCAGCCTCATCGGCAGCGTCAGAGCATATATATTTAGTGTCGGCGGTGATATAGTCACAAAGAAAAGGAACAGGTTATTACCTTCAACTCTTCGATATCTACTCTGCCTACGGGATTGGGGGGTTATAGGCGACGAGGAGGAGGATAATAGCGAGTAGACAGTTATCATATTTCATTACTATATACTACAGTTGAGCCTCAAAATACTCAAATACTATTCGGCGAGGATTTGTATGAGTATTCGCCGAATACTCCCAGATGGCGAGTATTCGGGAAAACCCCGAATACTATTCGAATACTATTTGGGGAACACTGAATATGACATGCGGGGTGATCCAAATCTGGGGAAGCTGCCTCAACAAGCTAGCTCTGGAGAAGCTTAATCCCCCTCATGATCTGCAACGGCGATATCAGGCAATATTACCCACCAATAGACGGCATAGATGCCGTTTAGAACTCGCCGAATTCCGAGATCCCATATTATGTTCAATACTCAGCAAGGTGACAGTGAATGCCCGCATAGGCTCTCCTGCACTAACAGCTACCTTCTATCGCCCGGCAATTAAAATCCCAGGAAGTCACAGCTCCGCGCGGGATACCTGCTACTCGTACCAGCAGGTGGCGATTTCAGAACTCATCAGTCCTTGATGACACCGAAAGGCCGCCGCGGAGAGCAACAGAGGTTCGTAATTGGTGGAAAGATCATCTGGCCATCGGCGGTTCTGTATAGAACAATGGGGAATTTTCCGTATTCCGAGCATAGGACTCTAGCTCTCATCGAAGCCGCATCGTATTCCATGGTGTCAATATCGCGGTTTGGCGGGGACTCGACACGTGACCCAGTATAAAATCCATGAAGTAAATGGTCATCTCAACCCGCCCCAGTGATATAATTTCTGTAATTAAATCAATATTTGCACGTGGAATAAAGTCCGGATTGATTTGTTAAGCAGCAAGTTTATGGCGCTCCTTCTGTTGAGTAACGCGTGTATTGTTCTGTCTAAAAAGTAGATGCATGAAATTATGCTGAAGTTGAGGTGAGGTCATGTGACCATATTACAACATCTTCTGTTGAGTAAATTCGATGTATTCAATTCTGACTAACTAAGAGGCTCCCAGCCGCAAGGGCAGATTGGTGGTTCTACGTGTGGTCGCTTACTGTAGCCCCTGTATATTACAACATCTTCCCACTCATTGCTGAGTCGCGCTTCCGCTCAGCCAATCAGGTGACTTGCGACGTCGAACGACAAATGCGGGAATCCCAAGAACGCAACTTCATAACTTCACAACTCATATCATTGTTCATGGTCATCTCCGGTACCCAAGATTACCCGTGCTAAAGAATGGCAACGAGGTTGGAGGCCAGTGCGGTGGCACCCGCGACTGCTGTTGCGGCTGCAATCAATGACGGCAAGACACATCTTCTGCTGGCGGCAAGCGGTTCGGTAGCAACAGTGAAGTTGCCATCCATAATCAATGCGCTGAAAGACTACCCAAACCTGTCGATCCGCGTCATTCTTACCAAAGCCGCTGTTCACTTCCTCGGCGGCCAGTCCTCTGAGCAGCCCACAGTAGCTGCGCTAGCTGCGCTCCCAAATGTTGATGCCGTTCATCAGGATGAGGATGAATGGATTGCACCGTGGACGAGAGGTGCCGAGATATTGCATATCGAGTTACGGCGCTGGGCACACCTTCTCGTCATCGCCCCAATGTCGGCGAATCTACTTGCTAAGATCACGGGGGGTCTTTGTGACGACCTCCTGACGAACACCATCCGTGCGTGGGATATGGCATCATCGGATCAGAAAGCTGCTTCCATCCTTGTTGCGCCAGCAATGAACGATAGGATGTTCACTCATCCCTTGACAGTGACACAGCTTTCAATCCTGGAAGGCTGGCCGTGGTTCGAGATTCTGCCAGCGCAGGTGAAGTTGCTCGCCTGTGGCGATCAGGGACAGGGTGGTATGTGCGATTGGAACGAGATTGTTCGTGTGATTGAGACACGACTGGCAGCGACTGACATAAGTCAAGCAAAGGGGGAAACTTGATCGCACGAGATGGTCAAGATGCTTTTCAATATTCATTCATAATGGCGCTACTTAGATATTTGTACTATATACGCTCTAAATTGTGGCGAAAAACTAGCACATCTGTCCAACATTGTTGTGTGAGGAACAACCCAGTCCTTGATACTTACCCATACCGACAAACCTAGTAGCCTTAAATAGAGCCTCTCAATCCTCTCCTTTCGACAAGCCACATAGAGAACAGATAGGGAACAGTGTGGAAGCTTCTCAACAAGGGACCGGGCAACTATTGGAGTGGGATTATCAACATTGTCCCTGCACTTATTTTCCGGCCGGCTTTTATTCACTCATTTGGACGGGAACCCTACAAGTGGCGATGCTCGTTGGAGGTCTTAGAATATAATACCGTCATTTATACCCCACTTGAATGCCGTTAAAAGGCCCGCAATGTGCGTCGCCGTTGGTTAGTCCAAAATGCCGCCGTTAGATCAGCTGCTAACTATGGAGGTTGGCATGACTATTTTTTGGGGATTCCTCCGCTTCTCCGATAGAATGGAAAATGTGTCTCCGAGACACATTTTCTACAAGAACTGAACCCACGCCATGGGTAAAGTTATAAGCCAGGTCTGTCAGCCTGAGATATTAAGACAGAGAGTTCCATTCAGTCAGCCGAGCGTTTGTACCACATAAATAGCGCAGAGATAGCTGTAGGAACCATAGTTGGCAATTTCGAAGCCGCAGATGGTGATCTGGCGTTGATCGCATCTACTTCGACTTTGTCGTCATCTTCCCGTTTGCATTTGGTGATATCTGTCAGGACCTTCGGGCACGTCACGCGCTTATACTCGACACTGTAGTTTCACCGTTAGATTTCGCGGGATTCTTGAAATGGGCTAGAATAGGTACTCATTTTGGCCCCTCCTCGACATCGTTGAACCAGTCGAACCGCCACTGACAGCCAGGCTTCAGTGCTGCGGGAAGGCGGTGCGATTTGATACGCCCACATTTTTCGCGCCGAACACAGTATCTGAGACATCATATTCAATACCACATGCTCCAGCGTAGCTCGTGTTCCCGCCAGGTATCTTGTTGATGGCATTAGTAAGGTCGTAACTCTCTCAGTCTGGGAAGGAACGACCAACATACACCGTGTAAAGGCATTCGGGGAATCGTAGTTTGTGTTAGAGGCTTGCACAATCATCGATTTGCCCTTGACTGCCCCGCTGGTAAAGTTCAATTGGTAGCAGCTGCAGCACAGCTGGACTCATCGCCGTCAACGAGGTAAGTGCCCACGAAGCCGTAGGATAACGTGTCATTGACGGCCCAAGGCGAGTTCGTCGGACATCCAAAAGCATGGCCTCCATTGCATCCTGTCCCTTGGGAACTATCTAGCAGCGCGTTTTGATTGACATCGCAAGACTGGGCTTGAGACTTGCTGACGAAGCCTGCTTTGTCGGCCCAGCCGCAGGACGGTTTGCAGCAGTCTCAATACCGCGATGTTACCGCCGTGGAGGGTCCGAGTAAATTGGACGTCGCTGCATCAACACAGGAGAAAATGAGAGCAAAGAGGAAGACGGCGAAGATGTGAGGTAGTGGGTGACCTTGATAGATTCGTCATGGCTAGTAGTGTGAGCATTCTGGGGCTTCATGGGAGATGGAAGAAGTTTCTTCCTGGCAAAAGCACATGTTACCCTGTGAGAGTTTGACAGTGCGCGCTGACAGTGCGCGCTGACAGTGCTGATAAGATGGCAGGATGGCCCCGATAGTAGGATGGCCGGTGCTTGTAACGGAACCAGTAATTGATGGCAAAAGGATGGCTAGAAAGAGGATGGCTGGTGCTCCTCTCCACAGGAGAGTAGGTGGTAGACCATAGCTTGACTCTTCCCGCAACTAACACGGTGGAGGACCTCCGTCTGTCAGTTGCTGCCACTGGACTACTGACCATGGGGAGTCAAGCTGACGACAGGGCCGGCCGACTCTGGTGACTTTAGCTATAGAGTAGTGCGAGTAGGGTTAATCAGGGTAACCGCCATGGCCGCCGTCAGGCTCAAGCTAAACTACCAATCGATCCTCTATAAACATCACGAGTCCGACTTCACCATCCGGCCGATGTCGGCTACGGAGGATGCGAAAGACCAGTTTATGGGCACGTCAAAGCATAACGAAGGTTTCCGACAGCAAGCACGCACATAAGTCAGAGGACAATGATACCAATGTCGATGAGGAGTTATGGAGCCGCTGGTAGGCTGGTTGGTTGGTGGAGGTCTAGATGGAGGAGCAAATACAGGGACGGTTGGTTTGGAGCTCCAGGGCTTATGATTTATGATTTTGTACGTCCGGAGCAAGAGAAATAGAAGAAAATGCATCCGGAATTGCTCAAGAATTACCACTCAATAAGTATGGTACCTGATAGGACTACGAGTCGTCGCCGACGAAGCTTGTGTGATCGATATGTATAGAACTCCCTTCTACGCGCCCAGCGTGGAACACTTCCTTTCCGGAGCCCCCCGCGCAGTGCCAAAAAGCAGAGACAGAAAAAAGCCATGGCAGCCATCATAAGCAATTGGGTGCGCAATTTCAATTGAGGGTAGCGACGCGGGATATATTGTGAGACGTTGGACTTGGGAAAGAGGAAGGCAGATACTTCGGGTATTAAAGGAAAATGGAAGAAGGGTCGCCATTACAGAGACAACATGGCACAGCGTGCATGTTGGGACTTCGTGTGTAGGCTACGGTATGACTACGGTCGTGACAGTGGGCTTCGCTGTGTAGCTACATACTGGCTGTTGAAAAGGCCCTTTTTTTCCTTTGTTAAGTCGTCAAACTCCAAATTTGTGCCACACATGCAATGCGTGAAATGCGGTCGAGTGTCTGTTTGTGAGGTGCATCGGCGCAAACGTCCAGTGGCTTCGTTGATTGTGACCTTTGTCATATGTATGTCAAAGGTTATGGGTAACTTGAAATTATCTGTAACGTCTAAATTACCAATACCGCCAACCTTCTGAGTGACAGCCGTAACAGGTTATACTCAGGTCGAGGCGACTTAACATACGTTCCGATGAACGCCGCCATCCATATCGTTACCCTTGTCATTACCATCACCCTGCTTCCCCACCCTCCCACGAGCACCCTCCGTAGTCTGCCGGGCCCGAAGAAGCTTCAAATCTATCTCATCATTCTCAAGCAGGATCTGCGTGACAGAGCACAGACCCGCAATAAGCCGGTCTAGCAGATCGAAGCTCATCGACTCTCGTACTACCACTCTCAGGATCTCGGTCTTTTCCTCGCCAGGGGGAAGAGCGTAATTCGGGATGATGTACTGTCTCGCGCGCATCAGTTGGGAGACGGACTCCTGCTTCACGTGCGGGTAGTCTTTCTTAAACGCATCTGAGAAGCAAAATGCCACGACAGGGAGACCGGCGTTATATGCGGCGGAAGTTGGGCTGTCGGTTGTCGCGAATGCCCCTCCATTTTCGTCATTGTAGTCATGCACGCCTTTCTGGCGGTGTATATCAGACAAACACACATACCAACCCGTAGCTTCGAGGCTTTTCGACAAAAGTCTAGCGTTTGCGAGGCAGTTTTCCATGATCAAGCGATAGCCACTGAATCCAAGGTGTATGAGATTGAAATACTGCCCAATGACCTGAGCGCCTGGTCGGGAGAAGTTCAGCGTGAATGACTCTTCGGTCCCGCCCAGGTAATGGAGCTCGAATATCAAATGCTTAGGGAGGTACGACTCGTCGCGCCAGATTATCCAGCCCACGCCAGCATAGACGAGGCCGAACTTGTGTCCGGAGGTGTTGATTGACTTCACGCGGGGTAGGTCAAAGTTCCACTTTGGGCCTCCGGCTCCAGCATGTGTGAAGGGGGCTACGAAGCCACCGCTGGCTGCATCGACATGGATGGGGATGTCGACTCCAGTCTTCTGTTGGTATTTGTCAAGGATATTAGAGATTTCCTCCACGGGCTCATAGTGACCCGTGTATGTGCTTCCCAGTATAACAAAGACGCCAATGGTATTTTCGTCGATATTTTCTTTCAGCAGGTCAGGATCCAGCCTGTAGTTACTCGTTTTGGATACTGGTAGAATCCGTGCTTCGACGTCGAAATATCGGGCGAATTTTTCCAATGCAACTTGAGCATTGGCTCCCATGATGATGTTCGGTTTGCTGCTGTCTTTCCCCTCCTCCTTTCTCTTTTCTTGCCATCGCCGCTTCATGGCGAGCCCTCCCAGGTGGATGGCCTCTGATGAACCAGTTGTTGCTGATCCAATCGGCTTCTCTTCTTTCTTCGCGCCCCAGAAGTCGGCGATAATGCTGACACAGCGGGTATGCATAGTCATTAGAGCAGGATATTCGTCGGAGTCGGCCATGTTCTTCGAGATATTCTCAATCATCAATTGCTCGGCACGGGATTCCATGAATGTTCCAACGAAGCTGAGAAACTGTCGTTAGTATTTATCCGCGGCGAGATCGATGGAGTTACGACATACCTTGCCAAGTTCAGATTTGGTTTTCCATCTAGATCAAGTTCATCCTTGAGAATTTGGTAGACAGCATCGGATGGCGCTCCCTGCTGCGGGATTTGAAACTTGGGGATATCTTGCCGGCTCGCATATCGTGTCGAATATGGAGTTATGTGCGACGTGCCGCCATTGGTATGAACATGACGTTTCCCAGCTTCAGCCATGTGCATTCCATGGAGGCGTTGGACGATCTCATCCGAGTCAACCTAAATGAGGGATTAACAATGAAATCCAAGGCTCGTCGGCTTGATCTTACATGTCTCGCAAGGCCAACCATACTGGGCTAGATTTTAAGGGTCTTGCTAAAAAAATGTTAAAAGGATGGAAGGGTCTCCTAGTAAACTAAGAAAAAGCCGATTGATACGGGGAAAGTAGAATATATAGCTCAAGGGCCAAACCAAGTGCTCGATATATGACGACAGAGTATCCGCGCATTTGGCATTTGGCATCATCATCGTTGAAAGCTGTAGTTCATCGTTGCAACTTCAACAATGCTTATTTTTAAATGGTCACATCAATAGCTTACCTGGAGACAGCTATTGGTGGCCATGACTTACCGTTATTACTGCAAAACTATGCCGATATCTTTCACAATACCTTCATAAAACGTTTGTTATCTCATACTTCCTCGCGACGTCATATAAATTGTCTTGTTGCCAAGAAAGCTTGGATTTCATTTGCTTTTGAAAATGTGATCACATGATACACGAACACTAAAACCAGCGCTCAGAAGGGTCCGATGAGGGGAACAGAGACAAAGCTGTGGCCAATCAGGAAAGACAAGGCTAATGGTGATGATGACGACGACACCACCACCAGCATCTCCGTTTTGAGGTACACAATTCGCTATACGCGCGAGAAAAAAAAGCTATTTGCAGGAGAAGTAAACCACATGCTGCTAGAGAGATAGGTATGAGGAGAAAGGACTGGTACTAATTAGTGGAATACCTTATGTTGTAGGTGCAATGAAAAGACAAATCACGGCTGTTATATGATAAAAAGTGATATTTATCTTGGAAAGACAGGGGACTTCGAACCATTTCCTTTGAACCACACCGCGTGTCCTCGGTTGTCACATCACTCGAACCCCTGGACCGCTGGCGTCTATGTGCTAGCAGGTGATAATACGCCATAATCCTACAGATTTATATGATATCAGACACTTCTCATCATCTTCCTCTCTCTCCCCGAGGTATCCGATCCCTTGATATATTACCAAAGATGAAGCTCATCAATATCCTTCAACTCATCGCTATATCTATGGCCTTCGTTGTCCCTGAGGAGGCCGAGATTGGACAGCAAAAATTTGCGCCTAAGAAGACATCAAAGACCTTAGAGAATTTCTAGTAGTTTTGGAAACCGCTAACAGAAGAGCATCAGCCTTGCCGAGAATGCTCTTGATGAGGCCATATCTGTGGCAGAAAGCCTAGCCAAAAATCCTCGTCACCCTAGCCACCCAGACCTCTCGCATCGTCCACATCGCCCAGATCACCCAGATCACCCAGATCACTCAGATCACCCAGAACATCCCCACACCAGATCATCCAGACCATCTAGACCACCCACATCACCCACCTCATCCGCCCCAGCCACCTCATCCCCCTCACCATAAGAAGCCGCATCATGGCCACCGCAAGCCGAACCGTACGATATATGAGCAAATCGCCGGCAGCAAGCTCACAACGGAACTGAACAAGGTCATCAATGACGACCTTGTCCAGCTGCTCAACAGCACGGAGACCAACTACACCATCTTTGCGCCAACGAATGATGCATTCAAGCATCTCCCTGGATCTCCCTGGGTCTCATAAGAAGCCTAGCAAAGAGATAATCAAGGCAATCTTGGAGTACCACCTTTCGCCCGACCTCTACCCCCTCCGGAGGCTGTTGCTCAGCCACACAGTCCCAACATCCTTGAAGGAAGATGGGCTTGGTGGAAACGCTTAGAGGCTGCGGATTGGACTTGGCCTATGAGGGCAGAACGTCAACTTTGTCACCCACTTCAAAGCGGTCAATATCGTAAGTTAAGCCCCTATTCGAATTTTACTCAGTACTAATCACACCCTCTAGGACAGTGTTGTCAATAGACCGACCGACCAGACCAAAGGGTCCCAGTCGGTCGGTCTGGCTAATTTTGAGATCTGGTCTAGTCGGTCTGCCTTGGTCTGCAGACCAAATAGACCAAATAGATGGTCTGCCAAGGGGTGGGAATTGGATGTGATTTGAATGAATAGATTGAAGTCTAATTGTAGCTACGATACATGCCGGCAGTATTCAATGGCTTGAGACATTCACATGCCTCAATAATATCTTCTTTGAGTCTGTTTCGAGCGTCTGAGATTAGCAGTTTAGCACTGCTGAACACCCGCTCAACTTCTGCTGACATGGCTGGTATTGACAAGATATCTAGCGCCATTCTCGACAATGCTGGATACAGAGTAGAATGGTCATTCCACCATTGTATGATATTGCTAACACGAGCTTCTGGTTTGATGTAGCAGTAATCCTCATACTCGTCTGCCAGTAGCTGAGCCAGCGGTCTACAGTCTGATCGCTGGGATAAAAACTGCTCGAGTATATCCATGTCTGGGACTGTAACACGTGTCTCCCTGCTTGTCCCAGCCAATTTGGGATTGCGGTCTTTATAACTTGTAGTCCATAGATGCTCGACAGCTTTATGAGCCTCAGATATCCAATCAGAGCGGTGCTCCCAAAGTTGCTCAAGAAAGCTCCATTTAAGCTGTGGATTTAGGACAACCGCTGCTACATATACTGGTGATGTTTCTGTGAGATTGTAATATCTGTCGAGTAATTTCCAGGCGTTATTGATGCAAACCGTAATGTGATCGTAACCTAAGTGTTCATAATCTTGTTTTGCGGCTTCAAGATGATGCAGCAGAATCTCCATCGAGGGTAGAATCTCCCATATTGATCCACGTTTTCCATCCTTGGCTTGGCTTTCCATGCGCAGTGTTAACTCTTTGAATGGTTTCAATAAAGCTAGAATACGTGTAAGCTGATCCCAGTCATCCCGTGTCAGTTGATCTTGAGCTATGTCTTTGTCGAAACTTCTTGCTGCAAAGAGATCTATTGGATCCTTCAAATGCATAGCCCGCTCAATCATGCTGTATGTTGAATTCCATGTCATACTGACATTCGTTGCACTCAGTTTGCTATCAAACTCAAGAGCAAACTTGGAAATCTCCTCCTCAAACCTACAAGTCACTATACATATTTTGGCTTATCACACCAACAACAAGAGCAATACTACTCAACGATTGCTACAACCATCTATGATTCATTACACGTCATCGCTCCTTAGTTACTGGGCCGATATTACCACATAGCATATCTCTACAACCCTCTATGATTCATTACATGACATCACTCATACTACCACATGACATATCTCTACCAACTAGAGGCCTAGGAGCATGAACGATAGCTCTAAAAGCTCCTACGAACCTCTATGATTCATTACATGTCATCGCTCTTTAGTTACCCACAAGATTGGTTAAGTTATGACATAATTTGTCTATGACATAATTTGTCTATAGGGGTACTCTGACCTTGGACCTCCTTTTACTTCCTATAGGCTACGAACCTAAGAGATGGTTCTATGGGATTCTCTTACGTCGACTACAGTTACCAAGCCTGGTAAGTCATGGAAAGTCTTGGAAAATGAGAGAACTACACTCCTTTAGCATAAATAGGATTGCCCTTTCCTTAAGAAAGGGCAAGCAGACAATACAGTAAATCGACTATCACATACTTCCACGTCTTTTCCAAGCTTCCAAGCATTCATCTTGTTACTCCTTGTTTCTGAAAAGTCAGTGAGGTGTTAACCTCTGACTTACCCCTTAGTTCCCAGACTCAACATTTGTTGCAACTTGTCTGAACCACTTCACTACATCACACACCTGGTTGCTGCGTTGTGGAATAGTCTAAGCTACGACCCTTTGGCTCTGTTTTCTAAGACAGTGTGTTGTCTTAGTAAATCGATCCCTTCCTTGGGTGGCTAGATTCTCACATCTGGTGCACCCACCATTACAAATTTGTCTATAGGGGTACTCTGACCTTGAACCTCCTTTCACTTCCTATAGGCTAGGAACCTAAGAGATGGATCTATGGGATTCTCTTACGTTGACTACAGTTAACAAGCCTGGTTAGTCATGGAAAGTCATGGAAAATGAGAGAACTACACCTCTTTAGCATAAATAGGATTGCCCTTTCCTTAAGAAAGGGCAAGCAGACAATACAGTAAATCGACTAGCACATACTTCTATGTCTTTTACAAGCTTCCAAGCATTGATCTTGTTATTCTTTGTTTCTGAAAAGTCAGTGAGGTGCTAACCTCTGACTTACCCCTGAGTTCCCAGACTTAACATTTATTACAACTTGTCTAAACCACTTCACTACATCATACACCTGATTGCTGCCTTGTGGAATAGTCTAAGCGACAACCCTTTGGCTCTGCTTCCTAAGACAGTGTTGTCTTAGTAAAATCATCCCCTTCCTTGGGTGGCTAGATTCTCACATCTGTTGCACCCACCATTACATCTAAGTTGTTAGTTCTCAAGGTTAGGTAGTGCTACCATTTATCATTGTTATAGGCAAAAACCACCTTTGCATCTTAGTATAAGAATAGTGGATTTCTAGCTAATTAGGTAATTGCTGTTACTAAAAATGGTTAGACTACAAACAAGAGAGGTATGGATTAGATCTAGCATTTTAAGAAGCACACAAAGTCCTAGACTATGAGTATTTTATTGCTTGTTAGTCCTTAATGGTCATAAGAGGTATTACTTAGACAAGTTTAAGGAGTGCTATAAAGAACATGTCACAGGTAGGTAGGAAGCAGACCTCCCGCAAATCCGACAGCAATCTCTAACTGTCCGTACAATTCAATCTGGGTGGAGAAATGCAGGACTATCCATATAATCCTTCACTTGTAATTGACAAGATACAAGAGACTCGGAATCAAACACCTGATTATGAGCCATTTGCTTCATATAATAGTATCTCAACACCGAAAACAACTATGCAAAGTGTGCAAGTGGTTGAACATTGGCAGAAGAGAGCAGAGGAAGCTTTCTCATCGCCTTCAAGAGAAGGGTTTCAATCATTTGCACGTGGAACTACAGTTGTTCTACACCGGGCAGAGCTCTATAAGACTGAGCTAGATATTATGACTTTACGTGCAGTAGAGCAGAAGGCAGCAAAGGCAAGGGCACGGACATCACTACAGAAAGAAGGGCAGTTATATGCATCAGATGCACGGAAAATGCAGGAAGAGAAGGAAGCAAAGTTGCAAGCAAAAGCAGACGCAAGAGCAGCAAGGGAATCGGACCAAGTAGTAAAGCAGCTACAAGCGCAAGCACGTAAAATCGAAATTGAAGAGCGTAAGGTTGAGATGAAGCGGGTAGCAGAGCGGAAGAAGGAAGGGTTGAAATCAAAAGTGATAATTTTACGGTATAGTAAGGATCAAAGTGATAGTAGTAGCGATAGTGGCAGTAGCGATAGTGATAGTAGTTCTATTGATTTTATGTTTTAATTATAACGTAACGTATGGGGTAGTCGGACATACGGGGTAGTGGGACAAAAATGCCCGACTACCAACTCAGAACCTTCATACCTTCCACCATGAACATCCCACAACCATACAGTCGTGCTCAGATTGAAGACAACATCCAAAAGGCTGTCATTGTGCTCCAATTGAAGGAATTCAAATCAATTAGACTTGCTGCAGACCACTTCGAAGTTCCTAAGTCAACTCTTGCTGATAGGATGTCTGGGAATAAAACGCGTGCTGTAGCTCACGAAATTGAACAAGCTCTCTCAAATGCAGAAGAAAATACACTAGCACGATGGATTACACGTCTCACTGCCACGGGTTTTCCTGCAACTCCTATGTTGATCAAGGAAATGGCTGAAGAAATTCGCATACGACGCGTCCAAATCACGTCTGTCGCGGTTCACCAAGGCATAGGGCGCCAGTTGGGTATTATGAATTAAACTCAATCTAGAGAAAGGAAGGAAAGAGAAGAGGAGCACTCGAGCAGTGGCTCGATCTATATACAGCTATTGTGGAGTAAATTCTCTTTAGCGAGACCAGTTCTGAGAATTCACTCCACAACTGAAAACTTCGCTCCAACCCCGGAAAGCTCCCCACACCCCTGAACCCCCACTCGAGCTGCAAGGCGCACTTGATATCGTAACACTACCCCCCCCCTACTCCAGAGTTGATCTCCTGATCAAGAAATCCCATTTTAAAAAAAAAACAATTGTCTCCAGCTCTCATTTTGGTTTCTGAGGGTATTTTCTGTGATATGCTTGGGTAACTTCTGGAGAATTTTCAAAGCTCTCTGCAGTATACCATGTCTCATCCGGTGGATAGTTCTTCCAAGCTGCCTTGTAGAAAAGTTTCTTTCGAATAACTTTTGAGTCGAGGATTTCGTCCACTTCCCACTCCTCTTCGCCATTGACAATGACTGGAGGCTCTGGCTCCTGTTGCTGCCCTTCGATTGCATCATTCGAGTCAAGTCTTAATAGATTGGCATGAAATACTGGATGAATCTTCATGCTGTTTGGAAGTTTGAGCCGATATACAACTTGCCCAATTCGCTCTAGAATTTCAAAAGATCCCACTTGCTTGTGGTCTAGCTTCTTTGATGGCCTCTGTGTCTTTATATTTCGAGTTGAAAGCCATACTCTGTCTCCCACTTGATAGCGTGGTGCAGGTTTCCTTTTCTTGTTCGCGAAATGTTCCATTTTTGCTTGCGAGAGCGTGATTTCATCCTGCAGAAACTCCCAAACCTTTGCCATGGTCTGAGCTATGTTCTTGTGCTCTTGTTTGGCTTCGTGATATGCTTGCTGCTCTGTATCGAAGCTCATTCTTGGTTCATAGCCCTTGTTCGCAAAAAACGCACTTGTCTTGGTTGCATCTGATGGCAAACTGTTGGCAGCAAACTCCGCCATGCACAAGTATGAAACCCAATTGTCTTGAAGATAGTTCACATGAGCTCGCAAGTAGCGTTCGAGCTCTGCATTGAATCGCTCAGTCTGTCCATCTGTTTCTGGGTGGAAGGCAGTTGAAAGTTTGGCCGAAATTTTCCAAATTTTGCAGAGCAAACTCCAGACTTCTGCAATGAACTGAGGACCTCTGTCTGATATTATCGAGTTTGGTAGACCATGGTGCTTCCATACATGTCGAAGTAAGAGCTGTGCTGTAGCTTCTGCAGTAGTCCCTTCTTGCCCAGCGAAACACGGAATGAAATGTCTTTCTTTCGTCAACCTGCATGCAACAACCAAGATAGCATTGTTCCCTTCACAGAGTGGTAATCCTGTCACGAAATCCATTGATATATCCATCCATGGTCGACTGTCAATAGGGATTGGTTGTAGAAGTCCATTGTAGGAATCTCGAGATGGTTTCGATCTTCGACAACTATGGCAGTTTTTGATATATTGAATTATTGTTTTGTCCATGTTTGGCCAGTAATAGTGCTGTTTCATGACTCGCAGCATCTTTCCAGCTCCTGGATGTCCCATAGAAGGTTGTTCATGAACTTCTCTCAACAAGTCCACCTGAATGGTTTCTGGCACCCAAACTCGATTTTGATATTCTAGCATGCCGTTTTTGAGTTCGCAATAAGCCAATGCAACCTCTTTGCTTGTTCGATCACCATTCTCAAGCTTCTGTAGTGTAGCCTTGCAGAATTTGTCTTCCAGTTGAGACTTTTGGATTTTCTCAAGAATTGTCATTTCTCTGATATGAGTTTCCACTGGAGCTAGCTGAGCTGTTTGGCCTTGTTCTTTGAGTTTCTGAATGTCTGGATGTAGCCTCGAAGGTGGTAGCAACACCTGAAGCTGTTGCTTTTGTTGATCATCCTCATCATTGCCTTCTGGTCTGTCACCAGGCCTTCGAGTCAAAGCATCTGCTTTTCCATTTTGCTTCCCAGGCCTATAGATGATCTGGAAGTTGTATCGAGAGAGGAATTCAGCCCATCGAGCTTGTCTTCTTGTCAGCTTCTTGGTGGACATGAAGTATTCCAAGCTTTTGTGATCAGACAAGACTTGGACTGGAAAATCTGTCCCTTCAAGTTCTGGTCTCCATGCTTCGAAACATCTGATGATTGCAAGCAATTCCTTGTCATATATCTCGTAATTGCATTCTGCAGGTGCTAGCTTTTTCGAGAAGTATGCCACTGGATGTAGAACCCCTTGATCATCTTTTTGTGACAAGACTCCTGATGAGATGAAGTCTGAGGAATCTGCTTCGACATAGGCTGTCTTGTGTCTATCGAAATGCCTCAAGACAGGAGCTTCTGTGACTGTTTGTTTCAACAGCTCGAATGCAGTTTGGCATGCATGAGTCCATTCGAACATCTGATCCTTTCTGGTAAGGTTCACCAATGGCCTCATGATGCTGGAGTAATTTCAGATGAACCTTCGATAGAAATTGCAGAATCCAATGAAAGCTTGCATATCCCTGAGCGATTTTGGAGTTTGCCATTCCAATATAGTAGAAACCTTTGCAGGGTCCATGCGAATACCATTGACTCCCACGATGAGTCCTAGGAATTTGGTTTCTTGGACGAAAAACTCACATTTTGAGATATCTGCTTGAAGTCCAGCTTCTCGAAGCTTCTGTAGGACTTTCCTTATGTGCTCTGTATGCTCCGCTCGAGTAGCACTGTAGATAAGAATGTCATCCATGTATGCAGTGACGAATTGGTTGAGGTAATCCATGAGGGTTTCATTCATGTACCTCTGGAATGTTGCTGGACCATTTGTGAGTCCGAAGGGCATGACCTTGTATTTGTAGGATCCAAATCGAGTTCTGAATGTAGTGAGGTCTTCATCTTCTTCTGTCTGCATTCGAATTCGATTGAAGGCATGTCGAATGTCCAGTTTGGTGAGATATTTTGCTCCTATGACTTGGGCCAGCGTTTCATCAATGAGTGGTATGGGATATCGATCCTTTTTCGTTATGGCATTTAGCTTCCTGTAGTCAACACAGAATCGAAGACCACCACCTGGCTTTCTCACAAACATAATGGGTGAAGAGTATGGGGCTTTGCTTGCTTCAATGAACCCTTTTGGCAAGTGGTCGAAGACATATTCTTCGACTAAATCAAGTTCTTCCTTTGACATATTCCAGAGTGGTGCATATCCCAGCTTTGCATCACCTTCGAGTTCAATATGATGGTCTGAAGGTCGATGGGGAGGTAGCTTGTCTGCTGCCATTTTTGAAAAAACATCCAAAAATTCATGAAATTCCTTCGGAAGGATCAGTCGAGAGTCAATTTCTTCAGTTTTGGTCTTGTTCTTGTGCTCGATTATGTCCTTCATTGATATAGCAAAGACTTGAGCTCCTCTTTGCTTCATGAGCATTTGAAATGGTGCTGCGCCAATCATTGCTATGGTGCAAGGTTTTGGTTTTTCCACTTTCGGAGCAGGTTCCGGAGGAGGCATTTCTTTGGCTTTCTTCTTTGGCCTTTGTCTTTCGCTTTTAGATATAGGCTCTGTTTCGAGGGCTCGATCTGGTATAGAATGGTTGCAATAATCTCCAGTGAAGAGGACTTGATCATTGATCATATCGAGAACAACTCCATGTTGCTTCATCCAAGCTTTCCCGAGAATGATGGAATGTTTTCCCAGCGAAGTAATGAATAATGGACATAGGCTTTCCACATGCTCTCCCACTTGTAGTCGAGGATATATAGCATGTGTGATAGCAGGGGCAGCCTCTCCATTGAATCCTTCAACTTGTTTTGGCTTCACAAGTTCGATTGGGGCTATCCCTTCGATTTCACATATTCTTTCTGCATCAGCAGCATTAATGAAGTTTCCACCTGTGGCACCAGTATCGATCAATGCATGGACAATAGCTTTGTATTTTCCTATTCTACAAGTAGCTAAGAAAGGGGTGTCCGGATCAAAACTGGATCTCGAGGAAGAAGCTGCAATTCTGGCTGCACTGCCTCTAGTGATGACTTGTCTAGAGGCTATTCGTTTTCCGAATCGATGATAGACTAGCTGTAGATACCTCATTCACTTGAGCTTTGAGCTTCTGGGGACAGTCTCGAGCTCGATGTCCATTTTGTCGGCATATGAAGCATTTCCCAAGTTTCATGAGCATTTCTTTTGCTGGATCTTGATGCGGTGGTCGATACAGCTTCTGCGTCTTGTTTTGCATGTTGGAATCCATTGTAGGTTGAGGGATTGAAGTTCGAAGTGCCTGGCCCTGATTTTGAGTTTGGCCCATGTTGTTCGAAAATGACTTTGGCTTCCTTTTGTCTTCTTGTTCCTTGATCCGCTGAATGTTCTGGTCGATGAGCATGCATTTCTTTGCAAACTCGTGAAGTGTAGTAGCTCCAACTTCAGCCACTAAGGCTTTCTGCATCTGTTGGTTGACTTTGAAGCGCAAGTCATCCAGCAAAGTTTCTTCAGAGTAATCAAGCTCTGTCGTGAGCCTTTGGAACTCAGCCCAGAACACTGCAAAGGTGTTGTTTCTCTGATACAGCTTTCGATACTCAGTTTGAGCTGTGTGCCTTCGATCGGGATCACTGAAGACTTTTTCCAAAAGTTCGAGAATTTCTTCTGCTGTCTGCAATTTGTTTGTAGACTTTGGTCGAAGCCTTGGATTGACATGTCGAACTGCCAGTCCTCCCAGTCGACTCTGAATGTAGTCATTTGTAAAGTCTGTGTTGGAAAATGATCAATGTTGGCTTCGAGCTTGAGGCGAATTTTCACAACCCAGTCTTCAAATGCTGGCTCTATCCCATCTGTGAGGATTGGAGGGTCTGGAATCATAGAGGGTTGTAGAGATATGCTATGTGGTAATATCGGCCCAGTAACTAAGGAGCGATGACGTGTAATGAATCATAGATGGTTGTAGCAATCGTTGAGTAGTATTGCTCTTGTTGTTGGTGTGATAAGCCAAAATATGTATAGTGACTTGTAGGTTTGAGGAGGAGATTTCCAAGTTTGCTCTTGAGTTTGATAGCAAACTGAGTGCAACGAATGTCAGTATGACATTAGATTACTATAACCCATTCTCAATTACTAGGCTATACCTTCCTTGCTTTTACCTACCTATCTAAGCTTGTTATAACCATTACACTTAAGATAACGCCTATCATAAACCTAGTCTTGTCAAAGTCATAGATATCTACATCGTGAATGCCATACTTCCTAATTGTATTCTGTACAAGCTTAAACCAGCTATGAATAATTTCTAGATCCTGACACTTAGCCCTCTAATAGTCATATTTCTACTAGAAGTGTGTCTAGAGCTCTAGGTAGCGCTTAATGAAGTTGGAAACCCATCGCGTCGTAACACGTGACGTGACGTGTATTATATTTAACCATAGACACTTAGGGAGGTGCCTAGCTCTAAATACTTTTATAGCTAGGTTAAGGATGTATTAAGTAAGAACAGATTCCTCTAGGTCGGTCAATTTCCGTGAGTTGGCTATAATATCGCGTCATTGTCTCATGCTACGCCTACGACGACTTAAGCTTCTCATGGCTAACGGAATAGATCTTCCCCGTAGCTCAAGCACTTACTTAGCTTTACGGTCATTTTGCATTGCCTAGAGGGCTAAAATGATCCTGCTTTCGTCGTGTTTTTGAGGCATAATTTGTGGTGGAGAAATGTAATGCTTCGGGGAACAGTCACGGTGCGACGTTCGCTTGTCTGTGACATTGGCTATGCACCTACGTTACAGTATAAAGATTACTCGACGCCTGCCATTATCAACAGTGACGCCATTCCCTTGTATTCCATTTCCATTCCGAGTTCCATTTCCATTCCGAGTTCCATTTCCATTCCGAGTTCCATTTCCATTCCGAGTTCCATTTCCATTCCGGGCCCATTCTAAAAATCCCTATGCACCCACATCACATCACACGCAGCCCTAAATCAAATCACGCAATGCACAACAATACACAATCTAACCCCTAATCACATACATCTTGCCAACTCCACATACTGATAAGCACATCCCCACTCACTCGTCAGAGGGAGACATCTAGAACGCAGCAACAACAGCCATGATAGCAGCACCGAACGCAAGCCCCGCACCCGCACCAGCGGTAGGAGCAGCACCCGTAGCCGCGACAATAGTCGGCCTAGCAGTAGGGGCAGGCGAGACAACAGTCCCGTTGCCTGTGCTGTTCGATCCGCTACCGCTGCTAGCACCACCACCGACAACACCACCAGAGCCGCCGCTCGAGGCGCCACTAGATGGAGAAGCGCTACCAGCACCACCAGTAGCACCGCCGGATGGGGAAGCGCTGCCAGAACCGGTACGGGCACCAGCGCCGCCGGTGGAGGCGCCGCTGGATGGGACGGCGATGAGGGTGGATGAGGAGTTTGCGGAGCCGGAACCAGCACCGACGCCGCCAGCGCCAGAGTCAGCGCCATGGGTTGGGGTCAGGGTGCCGCCGCTGGCGACGATTCTGCTAGGCGCTGCCCCGGTGGAGGAGGCGACGTCCTTGGCGGAGCTAGCGGGGGTGGTAGAGTCGGCAGATGGGCAGGAGAGGTCGAAGAGCGGCTTGGTGCTGAGGGTGGTGCCGACGACGCCGAAGCTGGGGCTGGGGGTGTTGGGGTAGGAGTCCTGGAGTGTGTACCAGTATGTGTTGATCTTGCCAAGCGAAGGGCAAGCGACCTTGTCCCAGAAGAACTTGGCATTAGCGAGACTGGCCTCGGCTTGTCCGGAGACGGGGCCAGAGACAGGCCACCCGGTCTCGGTGATCCAGACGTCCTTGCCGCCTGCGGCTCCGACGGTGGCATCGTAGGCGTCGAAGAAGAGCTGCGGTCCGTTGTCGACGCCGTTCGCCATCGAGGCCTGGAAGTAGGGGTAGGCGTCGACACCGAGCCAGTCGACGGCCTGGATGACAGCGCTGTTCGAACCGTTCACCCAGTCGTTCCAGGTATCGACGTGGCCGATCGGGGTGCCGGACAGAGCGGTGCCAGCGATAGCCTGGCGGACTTGACCGATATAAGAGACCAGATCCGCGGGCTCAGCTCCGTAACCAGACTTGGCGGCGATGCCGGTGGGGGAGAGACGGTAGAGGTCCTCGCTGCCGACGGAGAGGCCGGTGACACGGCTGGTGAAGTCGGTGCCGTACTGCTCGATCGCGCGCTTGAGGGCCGCGATCTCGTTGTTAATGCCTTGTTGGCCGGCGGAGGCCCAGATTCCGAGAAGGAGGGTGGTGTCTGCGGCGATGGCGGCGGGGATGGCGGAGATGGGGTCGTTGGCTGTTCCGCCTTGCTGTTTTGGCTGTTAGTGTGTGTTGAATGGAAAGACGAGAATGGGAGTTGGTGTGTGGGTGGACTTACGATCATGGTGTAGAGACGGGCGGAGTTGAAGCCGGAGACACCCTCGAGGTTCTTGGCGGCGTTGAACTCGTCCTGGAATCTCTGCTGGTCCCTGATGGAGCCATCGCTGTTGGTGGAGCCGTAGTTGAATCCCTGGTGGACGGCCGAAGCGGATGCCACGAGGGCGAGAACAGATGCAGTGGTACGCATTGTGGCGTTGTCGAGGTAAGTAACGACCGTGTAGTTTGTTATGAAAGTTGGAACAACGACGGCGGATGTCCAACGGTGTTTGTCTTCTTCTTTAGTGAGCGTGAAGCTTGCGCAGGGCGAGATGAAGGAAAGGAAGGAGGAAAGGGGAAAGGGAGACGCGGCAGGTCGGCCTTCTTAACCTATTAGTTCCCGGAGTTTCGTGGTGAGGACTTGGGGGGGGGGGGGGGTGGAGGGGGGGGTGGAGGAGGGGGGGAATCTAGAACCCAAATCAAAACAAAACATCCGCTAGTACCGCGGTACCACACTGGCCAAAAGAAAACTCCCCTGTGGACCCTGTGGATCCTGTGGATCCTATGGATCCACCCTCAGTCCCTAAACGCCGACACCCACCGCCCCTATTATGTTAGGAAATCGCACCCTAAGCCGCCAGCACCCACAGCCCAGATCAGATCGCCACGCCACCCACCAAAAAACAACCCCAAGTCACGTGATTAACCCCGAAAATAAACGCGTGTTCTGCACTCGTCGAAAATGTGCTCGTTCCCCATGAAGAGAATTTCTCTCACGATAAGGAAAGAGCGCTTGTTTTTGTTTATGACGGAATTGGAAGAAAGTGGTGGAAAGAGAGGGATGGATAAGTGGACGGGGGATTACGCAAGCCAAGCGGTTGAGTCCCACGTTGTGAGTCCCACGTTGTGCCTCTCCGCTAACATGACCGTAGATGCCTATCACAAAAATTCGTTCTCATTATGCCCAATCTCCCACTCCCTCCCTCCCTCCATCCATCCATCTCGTAAAAATCGTTAAAAGCGTTCCGCCGCGCCCATGAACTCCGTGCCTACGCGTTGTCCCCATTCCCACCTCGCCATCCGCGTCAACTGTGCGTGCTGTCCAGCCCCTACTTCTCGCCCCAGCCCCACACTGTGGCGAGGAAGTGGCCCATATTCACCCTCTTGCTCTTCATGTCGATCATCCACGGGTGCTCCAGCATGCGCCACGGGCTCGCGCGGCGGTTTGGATCTTTCTCAAGGCTACAGTTCTCATCAGCATTTCCGTGATTTCTGTGACCAAAAAAAGCGGGAAAGAGGAAAAACATACCAGCACTCAATGAAATACTTCATATTATCACTCCACTCAATCCCTCTCGACGGCTCATCCCTCAACTTCGGGATCGCCTGGTTAACAATATACGTTAGAAGATCGATCGGCCCCGCCCGCGGCTGCATCTCCGCGCCCTCCGGCGCATCCGCCGGGAACGGGAACCTGTGCTGCGCGACCTCGAGCAGTGTAACGCCCGTGCTCCACACATCGCTCGTGATCGTGTAGCTCTGCCCCGTGATGCGCTCGGGCGCCATGTAGTACGACGTGCCGATGAAGGTGTCGGCGACGCCCTTAGTGCCGAACTCGCCGCTGACGCCGAAGTCACATAGTTTTACCATCCCGTTGCGGCATAGGAGGATGTTGCTGGGCTTGATGTCGCGGTGGATGATCTTCTTGCCGTGTAGGTATGTGAGGCCGTTGAGAACGCCTTCGGCGATCTTGCCGAGCACCTTTTCGCCGGTGCGGCCGCCGAGGCGGCGCATTTCGCGGTAGATGGAGTCGAGAGACCCGCCCTCGCAGAATTCCATGGCGATGCAGATGGTAGCTGTGGAGGGCTCGACGAAGGCGCCGTAGTATGCGCAGATGTGTTGGGAGGCACATTCTTTGTTGAACGAGAGCTCGCGGAGGATTTGCTTCTTGACATCGGGGTCGGGGTTGGTCGTGATGATCTGTTCGTGTTAGCTAAACTTCTGCGAAGATCCTATTAAAATACATACCTTCAATGCAAAGACCGTCTTGCCACCCTTCAGAATACATCGTGTAACAGCACCCCCAGCTCCCTCTCCCAAACTGCCCAGCTCAATAACCCTCTTCTCCATATGGGCAATACGCCATCCCTCATCCTCTAAACTCTCCACATCAAGTGTCCTCGCCCTCTCCAAAGTTGCCTGATCATACTCGGGCGGCCCAGTCATGCTCCCGTCCCTCTCCATCCCAACCCCGCCCTCACTAGCATTAGAATACGACGACCCTGCTGCTGACGCTGGGTCAGGCGTCCCCTTGGGTTGGTTGAGCATCCCATACTGGCTCGCGAAGCTCAGCGCAGAGTACTGGCTTCCAGCACTTGTCGGTCCGCTCATCTTGCCATCAAGCGGCCCAAAGCTTCCAGACCTTGAATGTGCAGCACTGCTATCTGATCCACCGCTCGCCGAAGCCCCTTGTATTGCGCTGGGCCGTCCATTCTTTAACGAGACATCGTAGGACTGTGTCTGCAAGCTTCCCCTGGGGGTAGCGAGCTGCAATTTAGGGAGACCAGGGCGGCCAGTGGGTCGAGCAGTGGGCGGTTGTGGCGACGAGGTTTGGAGAGAAAGAGCCGGTGTTTTCAGAGAGAGGGAGGAAAGGTCGGGCATGGAGTTCACGGGGCGTGCATTGGGTGACGGAGGGATGGCGAGGCCCAGTCGAGGAGGTCGACCGGTGGTATTGCGGGAGCCGGGGATCGGAGGACGGAGAAGTGGAGCCGGATTAGACATATATGGAGCTTCCTGTAGTGGCTGTTGGGGGCTGATAGAAGGATACTACGACTGTCAGTGTGTGCCAAATGGAAAGGGGGGGAAGACAAACATTTGGTCGAGATATTGATAGTGAAGCTGGCAACTGAGAAGGAGCTGTCTGGTAATGAGCAGGCGATGGGGATGAGACCTGAGGAGCCGTCCCTGCCGTCGACATTTGGTCCTGCATGGGATATGTATTGAAGTGTTTGGAGGTCACACAAATGAAGTATTGTTTGAGCTTTGTTGGTCTCGGATATCGTCTAAGAAATGTGCTCGGAGTTGGAGATGTCCCTCAAAGAAGCAGTTGTTGTTTCAGCTAAGCTGGCTGCCGAATACTTCAAGCTCGGGCAAGTTTGTACAGGCTAAAGTCGTGAATTTAGTTCGCTGATATCGATATTGGTAACGATCGTGGGTGGTCGTGAGTGTCTCTTGTGTCGAGGAAGGCGGCTTCTGTGTTGGTTGGAGGGACTCTGTGACAGGGTATCGACGTGATATTGGACCGCAAAAGGGGTATCACAACGGGTATGAATCAGAGACTACCCCGAAGGACGCTTGTTGTCTTGAATAGCGTCGAGTCGAGCCGCGCGTAGAGCTGGAAGTAAGACTGGACTTGAGCCAATAAGGGCGCTTATCAATTGAGGTGTTGCCAGTTGCACGTGATTTTGGCTGATGTTGGATATTTGCTGAAACGGTCGACTAACAAACTCCCAGATTATTATTTGAAATTGTCAAATTTAAGGGTTAGTTCCAACGTATGAGGTCGTATCACAATAAATCGAGATTCGATGCCTTTTTGCATCCGAAACCCTTGCAGGACGAAATGCGGTGCGTGTACGATACCCCTGGCACACCAACCCGCCTACCACTAAGGCTTGTCCTATCGGCGTTATCATAGGCGCCGGCCTAAGCGCCGCATTCCAAATTTTGGACCCAGCTTTTCCACCAGCAAATAATCCAGCGAATAAGACCATATATCTCTCAAACACCCCGAAACACACAAATATGGGGGCTAAAGCTGTCACGGACGTGCATGAGGACGTATTGGAGAACCTCAACGAGCATTCCGAAGATTCGGATTCTTTGGATAGCACGAGCTCGAGGAAACGACGCCGTGTGGCTCCTGTAGACAGTGATGGAGAGGAAGAAGCTCCGTTATCTACAGTTGCAGTGCCATCCCGCATAAAATCCAGCAAACTGACTTCAGTTGCTAGCAAAGCTGCTCCTCTCCCAATTCTCGCTCCCGTTGATCAAAATACTACGTTTGACTCTCTCGGACTCAAGCCATGGCTAGTCAACTCTTTAGGTTCAATGGCGATCCGCCGACCAACTGGAATTCAGAAAGGATGTATACCAGAGATTTTAAATGGCAGAGATTGCATCGGAGGGAGTAGAACCGGTTCAGGAAAAACTGTTGCATTTACTGCGCCTATACTACAAAAATGGGCTGAAGATCCAATCGGGATTTACGCCTTAATTCTCACGCCAACGAGGTTTGTCTCCCCCTTTCTTCCTCTTAGCCTCAATTGACAGGACAGGGAACTTGCCCTCCAGATTTACGAACAGGTCAAGGCGATATCATCGCCCCAATCCCTAAAGCCGATCCTCATAACCGGCGGCGTAGACATGCGCCCCCAAGCACTCGCCCTCTCCGCCCGCCCGCACATCGTAATTGCCACTCCCGGCCGGCTCGCAGACCACATTAGAACTTCAGGAGAAGACACCATTATCGGGCTACGCCGCGTCAAGGTCGTCGTTCTCGATGAAGCTGACCGACTTCTCGCCTCCGGAAACGCAGGCTCCATGCTCCCCGCCGTGTCCGAGTGCCTCTCCGCCCTCCCCCCCGCAAGCGATCGCCAGACCCTCCTTTTCACCGCAACCGTCACCCCCGAAGTACGCGCGCTCAAGGACCTCCCCCGTGCGCCCGGAAAGCTCCCCCTCTTCATCTGTGAGATCGACGCTGCGAACCCGCTCGCGCTGCCTGCCGGCTTGCAGCAGACGCACCTAAGCGTCCCCGTCACGCACCGCGAACACTACCTACACATGCTCCTCCTGACCGAGGCGAATGTCAACAAGTCCGTCATCATCTTCTGCAACCGTACCGTCACCGCGGATTACCTCACGCATTTACTGCGGCTGCTCGCGCACCGCGTCACGGCGCTACATTCGAAGCTGCCACAGCGACAGCGCACGGACAACCTGGCAAGATTCCGTGCTAGCGCGGCGAGGATCCTGGTCGCGACGGATGTGGCGGCTAGAGGACTTGATATCCCGGAGGTTGGACTAGTGGTTAATTACGATGTGCCGCGTGATGCGGATGATTATATTCACCGCGTTGGACGTACGGCGCGTGCGGGAAGGAAAGGTCAGGCTGTTACGTTGGTGGGACAGAGGGATGTGGGGCTGATCAAGGCGATTGAGGAGAGGGTTGGGAGGGATATGGAGGCATGGGAGGAGGAAGGGGTTAATCTCGAGACGAGGGTGTTGAAGGATGCATTGAAGGTTGTGGGAGAGAAGAGGAGAGAGGCTTGGGTGGAGATTGAGGAGGGTAGGGAGGTTGGAGGGAAGAGGAAAACGGGAATGCGTAGGTTGGCGTGATAGGCGGGTTGATTTAAATTCTAGAAATCCACACCGCATCACGTATCATCAGGTGGCAACTACTGTGTGTGAGTGCTGACAGTACATGACATGAAGCAAGGGACCTTTCGTGCATTGTGTCCCCGTGAGGTCTGAGCGCTTAGAACGGGTTGCCCATTAAAGCAATGATATAATGTTTCATTGGTACTCGTGCCACCCACATGGATAACTGGTCATGATACGACGAGGCCGAAGAGATTGACAATCACCGAATGATTGTTCTTTATTCATGAACTCAATTTATGTCATTGCCGGAATGGAAATGGTGGCAATGGTCCAAACCTTTCCCCCCTTCAGAAGAAGCAAAGACTCAATCTTAACCTGATCCGACCCAGAAACTACTCCGCGATCCATTCCAGCTGACCGAACCACCCAAACACACTAGCACGTACAAACCACTGTTCTGTCTTTGCTCCACACCAGGAGTTATCCGGCCATGATTCAAGAGTGGTTTGTACCAGGTCTCCAGTGCCGTTTGACATTCCGGGCCAGAGGAATAACACTCCATTCTGGACTGGGGGTGCGTTACCACGTCTCAGAAGAGAGGCCGCATTTGCTGTTGCAGCAAGCAATGCTATGAGAGTAGTTCCGATGTAAACCATGATGATGATTGGGAAACTGAGGTGGGAACTGGGACCGTGGTGTAGATCGGCATTTTGGCGGAAGACGCACCTATTTTATAAAGCCACTCGTTGACAATAAATCACTCAGAGTGAAATTCGTCAACCACACAGAATTAAGACTAAATTCCAAAGAGATAAAATAATTAATTGATATTATCAAGGTCGAGTTAGCTATTCAGAGCTGTAAAATGAGAGTAACATAAGAAGCTAACTTCCACGCCTTTCAATAAGGCGTGTCATCATGCATTTGGGAATACCCCGCATAATGCTTGATATCGATACCGATAAGCACGCACCAAGTCCACAACGACCCCTCATTTACTTCTGATGAGCAACTCCACTTTCTATCAAATTGTATATGCCTTTGCAGTTCGCCCGAACTCTCATAAACAATATTCACGATGGCAAACGAGCCCTCAATCTCAATCCGAAAGTCTATCAGGTGGGGAGTATGTCCTGGAAACCTCCCACACCCTATGCTTGACCCTAGCTAAGACTTCACGTAGGACGATGCAGTCATCGAGGACACCAGGTATGAATTCCGTCTCCAATAGTTAAGGTTAAATCGTGAGGACGCCCGCTCATCTCTAGGGTAGTACTCTCGTCTTGACGACTGGTCCCAGACGTTACGTCGATCTCCGGGTGTACCTCCCCGAGAAACCAGAGGTTGGGTTACCAAACGCCGACGACGTGCCTGCGCTGGACAGACTGGAGTGGGGATTCGCGGGACAATCCAAAGGCACGCCTGCTGAGTGGGATGGACCGCGATTGGTGACGCCAGCGCACGGCACATGGACGCACTGGGTCGACAGCCAGAAGCCGGACGGGTATGAAGATAATGGGTTCATGTACGACCAGCATGACGGGTTGACGTGGGAGAAGGGGGTCATGGAGTACCCCAAGACTGGGAAACTGACGCCTTATGAGGAAGTTTGGGAGGATTTTGCTCCGGCGAAGGATGCTGCTGGAAATATGATAGCGGTGACGCTTGTTTATACCGAAACGGGAAATAGCGCGAAGGGGATGGTTATCAGGGTGGGAGACTGGATACAGGGTATTTTGAGAGATGCTGCAGGTAGCATAACTGTCGAGAGATGGCACTACGAGGTAAGTGTCCCATTAGAATCGTTATCTGATTTTCTGACATGTTGTAGACGGCATCGAAAGCCACGGAAGGGTGGAAACGGGTGGTTCGCATCGGGAGTGGGGAACTACCTTGTCAGAGACTCTTTGCCCTGGATAACTCGGCGACCGTGGAGGGATCAGGCTGGACCATATTAAAAGATGATGATGTTTTATAATCTCGATAGAATTAATTGCTAAATGCCCATCTCATTGCTTGCAAGGGCCGGTTTGGAAACATAAAACGCAAAATTATTCGAGGTAGCATAGGCTCCAACATACACATCCTAGGCAATATTGATACTTGCAACCCAAACAAACCAAAAACCAGTAATTCAATGCCCCGTTCCTACCTTCATCCATATATCGTAAACCCATTCATTCAACCATTGAAGCCCATACTCCGCATAGCGATACATTTGCTCATAACAACCTGAGACTTATGCCCCATAAATCCCCAACCCGACACCCTCTCCCGCCGCCATCCTTAACTTCTTAGCTCTCACCTCCTCATCGTCGGGCAACCTCTTCCTCTTCGGCACACTCGCACCCTTCGTCACGCTTCCAAAAATCTTCGCCTGTAACAGTGCCCCCTTCTCCGTCGCCTCGTTCAACCCTGGGCTCGCAGCAACCTCAAAGCTCTCCCTCGGATCGCGGCGCAGCATAGCTGATGCCGCAGCGCTTGCTTGGCTCTCCTGGACATCGTCGCTCTCTTGTTCCTCCGTGTCATCGCTATGTCTAGTCTCTTGCGACGGATGAGCCTGTGGATGGGCGTAAGATGCTAGCTCTTCCGCATCCGAAGCTGAGATCGTTGAGTCCCGACTCTTTCGGCGCTTCTCAGTGCGCCCATGGGGGAGCGCCGTGCGCGCGGGCTGTGCAGGCGAGAACAAATCCTGGTTTGTGCGGTAGCGTGGCTCAGACTGTGGGACGAATTGGACCGAAGGAAGGAGGTGCTGCGATTGACTCGAGTTTCGCAAGGGCGTTGAAGGGAGAGACGACAGGGATTGAACGTTTCTGCTATGCTTCACGTGGCTATTGGTCCTGTGCGTAAAGCGTGTGCTAGTTGGTGTTGAAGGTGCCGAGTTTTGGTCGTTGAGAACGCGGTCAGCAAGGAGGAGAGTTGCGAAAGAGTCCTGGCTGTCGTGCTGACGGATCGAGTGCGGGGTGTGTTTTGGCGTAGGCCGAGTGTATTGTGGGGTAGTTGGGAAGTTTTGCGATTGAGTCCGAGGTGTCGTGGCAGGCGCATAGAGCCCCCCTGGTGACCTGAGAAGACGCATGTGCTCGCGGTTCTCGCGGATGCGTCCAACGTAGCGGTGATTTTCGGACAAAAGGTCGCTGATATCCTCTTCCTTCTCTGCGATGATTGCCTTGGCGCGGTTGAGCCGTCGGTTAATGAGAGCGTTCTCCTGTTCCATGGATTCACAGTATGCCTTCATCTCGGCAATATAGCGAGCGCTGGCTGAAGGCTGCTCTGGGGGCTGCGATGATGCTTCTCGGCGAGAAATCTCAGTAGCCTGTAGAATCTCCACTTCGCGTCTAGTCATCTCGTGCTCCACCTCCATGCGCTTTGTTGCTTCCTCTGTCTCAATTACTAGAAGGCTATGCTGCAATTTGTAATGCGCAGCTGCCATACGGGCTTCGTGGACTTCTCCATCTAGCCTTGAGTTCTCATTGAGAGCGGCCTCAAGCGATGCGTGCAGTTCAGCAGCAGACGCAGTGGCTATATGGCTCGCTGGGATAGGTAATGGCCTGCCGGCCCCTCGTTTACTGTTATACGAGACAGTTGGCGGTGGTGAAGAGAATATGGCATGAGTTGGAGTCGTATCGCGGTCAAAGGCAGAGCTTGGCGACTGACGCTTTGGAGCTTGCGATGACGGAGGCGGCGTAATCGAGGATTGAGGCGGTGGAGAGCTATACCTCGGTCGCTCAACGTTCTTGGGGGCAGGTGCTGGTGCGCTACTTGTATTGAAAGAGGTTGGAGGTGAGCTTGGGTTGGCGGCTAGCATAGAAGTCGTTGGTGATCCGGTGGTAGCCTTCGCGATATCTGAATCCGATAGCAGCGTCGCATGGTGGGGTTGAGAGGTGGTCGGAACCTCAATTTTCGCCGTATCCTCAAATTGAATTGATTCATTCATGGTGATGAATGGCTAGTGCGATGGGAGTATGAGTGGAATGCGTGCGAAGGTCGCCGTCGTAGACCGAGTTTGGGTTGTGAAACGATGATAGGTGACAGGGTAACAGTTCGGTGATGTAGCACGTAGCTGGGAGATAGGCGTATGTCGCCTCGCTGCTGCGACAACAATGTGAGTGTTCTCAACAATGAAGCGGCTGTGACGTATGTTATATAGAGTGGCAATTGCTTCCCATCGATGGATTTTGACGTTTGCGACGGGAACAATCAAAATGGCTATGGTCGATAATCAACGAGGTTGGAATATTACACTAGTGCCCCACGCTAAAATGCGGACCGTTGCTCTTGACAACCCAGACTACCGAAGTCACATGACTGTCTCTCCGGAAGATCCCCCAGACCCTTGGATTTTCAAAAAATGACATGGGTAGGGAGAGGGAGAGATTCACCTCCTATATGACCCCTATTGACCCTTCAGCCCTACTGGAAAAGCCAACAATTTTGTGTTCTTTGTTTCATGGATATTGTCCTTCGTTTCAAAACAAGGCCCAACGCCGCAAACGATGCTTATACTTTGAGCTTTAACGCCGACTACAAGTATCATACGAAATGGGGGACGTAAACAACTCGCCAGTCGCGTCGACGCGCTCATCCATACCACGCCCGTCGAGGCTTCCGCTCCCATCACAATCGCTGCGTCAGTCGACATCACGAAGCTCTTTAAGATCATCTATAAATACTATACCAGTTGCCAGGCTACGCCCCAAGCAATCAAGAGATGTGTTAGCTTCCACGCAGGCAACAGGCGCCGCCAATAATCGAGATGTAGACGCAGGCGTTCGTACCCCTCAGACGGCGCCAGTTTTGCGGTCAAAACCTAGCAATAGTTCCTTCAAGGAACTGCAGCGCTACGAACCAGCCTTGGCCTCCACCGTCCAAACCGAAATTTCCGAAGATCCTGCAGAAGCCGATACGAGGAGTAGGAGACCACGACCTTCCTTGTCCGAGAGAGTTCAAGAGACGCTCGCGCAAATACCGCCATCTCCAGTCGTCAACAGGCGGAAATCAAGTTTCTTTAATCCGGAAAGCCCAATGCGCCCACCTTCACGATCTACCAATGGATCCAGACCGGCCTCGAGCTATGAGAATGACGAGAAGATGAGGCCGCCGTCTCAACAGACAGCATCGAGGCCCGGTTCAAGCGCAGGGTATAATAATCAGGCAGTGCCAATCGACTTTCGAGCTTCGACGAATACATTCAAGCCTAATTTGCATACTCCAGCTAAACGGCAATCAATTCAAACGCTAAAAAACCCCAAGAGTGTTTCCTCTCTTCGCCTTGCAGCATCATCGAAGACTCCTGGGTCACCTAATCCAACCACTCCATACAAGGCACCTGCACCTGCACCAGCCCTTGCGGTTAAATCTGGGAGCAAAACAGTTGGAAGGGCTGTACGCCCACGGGCGTCAGTGACTGGTCTCTTCGATGAACAACCCTTTGAGCCTATCAGGGCGGCAGACTCGAAAGCCCCAAGGAGTGTACGCCCTCGAGCATCGATTGGATCGTTCAGTAAGCCTACCCTATCGGAGCTTCCTAACACGGGGTCTACCAGGGCAAGTCTTGGTATGAAGAAGGTATCGCCTACTTTTTCAAACGCTTCATCTACTAGTGCCTCCACAACGTCGCATGCGTCAAAAGAATCTATGACTACTGTTGGAAGCACTCAAAACAAGGAGACGACCCCTAAGAAGTCATCTATAACTCTTAGAGAGCAGATTGCGAAAGCTAAGGCAGCGAAGAGGGCAGTGATGGCTAAGACTGTACCTGTCGCACAATCTGAAGGGTTTGCAGAAGAGGCCCCTGTGATCCCATCCGGCACATTTGATTTTGGCCTTGAGGATCCTTTCAACCAGAATACTCAGGACCCAAGCAAAGGTCTCCTCCGCAAGCGCATTGATGGTGCTCGCACAGATGGCCGCCTTAATATCGCTGCTATGGGACTGAAAGAGATACCCGATGAGGTAATGAATATGTACAATCTTGAGAACATCAATGGCCATGCCAGTTCATGGGCTGAAAGCGTTGACCTGATACGCTTTGTTGCTGCCGACAACGAGCTTGAGACTATTGGGGATGATATATTTCCTGATATAGATCCAAGGGACTCGGCAGACGATGACGATGCTCGCGGTAATCAGTTTGGAGGCCTGGAGACATTGGATTTGCATGGCAATACTCTTATTTCAATTCCCAGAGGCCTTCGACGGCTTGAGATGCTAACTACACTTAACCTTGTAAGTGATCCATGTGATTTAAGTGATCAATCTAACGTTATTAGTCAAACAACAAGTTGCAAAACGACTGTTTTGAAATTATCTCGCAGATTCCAAGCCTGCGAGATTTGAAGATCGCCAACAATTTACTATGTTCTGAGGCAAGCAGTGGACTGCTTAGCCTCGTGAATCTTGAAGTTCTGGATCTACACAGCAATCAACTGTCGTCTCTACCTGCGGGATTCGGCGACCTCGTCCGCCTTCGAGTCCTTAACCTTTCGGAGAACACCTTCACATCCCTGCCATTTAACGCCTTTCAACGCCTGCCCCTGACAGAACTTACTGTGGCAAACAACAAGCTTTGCGGCACCTTGATACAGTCAAATGCTGCTGAATTTCCTAAGCTCCGCACCCTCGACATATCCGGCAACTCCATCAAGTCCATCTCCTCTGGCTCGCTGTCTCTCCCTTCGTTGCAACTCCTAACTGTATCTGCCAATCGCTTGACTCATCTCCCGAACATGTCGACCTGGGTATCGCTTCTCACGCTGTCTGCTTCGGACAATTCGATTTCCGCTCTCCCCGAAGGATTTGTCGGTCTCCCAATCCTGAAGACTGCTGATTTGCAGGGGAACGACTTGCGGATACTTGACGACAATATTGCACTCATGGATTCGTTGGACACGCTGTTGGTTAGTGGCAACCCTCTTCGGGAGAAGAAGTTCAGCGGCATGAATACGGCAGATCTGAAAAAGGTACTCAAGGGAAGGTTGGAACCCGAGCCAGAGCCGGAGACCATTATTGAAATCCAGAACAACGGATTTGGGGCTACAATTGCCAAAGATGATGACTCGGACACTGGAACCGAATACCTGGATGCACCAAGCACACCTACGCTTCCACGATCGCCCTCCGCTAGCGAGTGGTCGATAAACACCACCCTGGGAATTTTAGACCGCTCGTACTCTCAGTCATACTCGCTAAACCCGCTCGTCGCTGCACAGATTGCGAGCGAAAACAATATCAAGACGATGGAGTTGCACCACAACTGTTTTACTGAGATCCCAACAAGCATTGCGTTCTTCGGTCTTACCCTAACTACACTAAATATGTCACACAATTCACTCACCAGTGACACCTTTATGAAAGACGAGATCGAGCTACCGGCGTTGAAGGAGTTGAATCTCAGCTCTAACACGTTCAGTTCACTGTCTCCAATTCTGCGTTTGCTCTCTGCACCACGTCTTGAGAAGTTAGATCTTAGCTTCAACCGCCTTACAACTCTCCCGTTCCTTCGAGGGGCGTTCCCATTGCTGACGGCTGTGCTGGCGAGCAACAACACGATCCGCGAGGTGAGTGCACAGAACGTGACGGGATTACGGATATTAGATGTCGGGAGCAATGAGCTAGAAAGGCTAGACGCACGGCTGGGCCTTGTTGAGTCGCTGCAGAGGTTGGAAGTATCGGGGAATAGGTTCAGGGTGCCGAAGCATACAATTCTGGAGAAGGGAACAGAGGCAGTGCTCGCGTGGCTACGAGATAGGATTCCTGTCTCGGAGTTGGAAGAACTGAGTTGATGAGCGAGTAATGGGAGCTGTTTGAGTCCATGGCTGTGGTAATGTGGAGTAATTTAGGGTGGAATGGGTTAGAGGCGTCGGTGATGGGGAGGTTACTGAAAGAGAATACCAGGGATGAAGGACGGGTCTAACTAGTATATAATAATGTATTAACTATTCAATGAGGATATTCGATTACAAAGTGGCAGGGTGGCTTATATTCGGAAGTACGCTGCTTTTGAAACCGTAATAAGAGGTCTTGAATACCCCAACCGCCGCCACCCCAGCACCACCGTCCGTTCGCACACAGTGCAGGATCTAATACCACCCTAATCCATCCATAACCACAGCCATCCAAAAGTCAAAAATATAAAGCCAAGCCAAGCCAAAACAAAACAAAACAAAACAAAACAAAACAAACAAAAAATACAGCAGTACTCCGTAGGTATTCGCTGGTGGCCACCCACCCAATTACCAATCCACCGTTTTGACCCACCCCAATATCACGTGCATCTCATTCTGCGTCTCCACCCAAGTTCCAAAATCTCCAAACGTCGAAGCTCTCTCCCACTCCAACCCACCCACAAACCTCACACGAGCAGATTCCCGGTGCTGATGTCCAACATGGAGATAGCCTACCCATCCCACACGTAAGAATTGAACTTCAATACTGAAGCGCGCGTCTCTCCTTTTTCCCCCGTCTTTCCCTTGCCTTCACCAACACTGTCTCCTGCCTCGCTCAGCTCCGCCTTCCTCTGGCAGAGTTTCGAGCTGGATGGGCGCCGGTCCGCAAGGATTGCCGTGTACGAGACCAGAACGAACCCAGCGACCTTTGAGTGCGTACCCTCTCGATCCATGTGGAGGATTGCGCAATTTGTTGTCTGGGACAAACAGACGATATCGATATGTTGGGAAACCAAACAGCATTTCGTTTCATAGTCGTAGGCAATAATTGGAAGATGAAGTTCATAGAAAACCAAATGGATATATACCCCTCGACTCCTATCTATATCATCGCTCAATGCGGCCCAAATGCAATGCTGTGCTAATAATACGCCGCTAATCTCACAATATGTTCCCACTCTTACTCCGCAAACCCAATGCTCTGTCTCGCATCATCTACCACCCTCCCATATTCAAGCAGCAGCCTAAAGAACCACACCTCGAGATCCGCATTCCTCAGCGCATTCCCCGCCCACTCCGTACTCCTGAGCGCAAGCGCCTTCCCCTCCTCCGTCGCAGCTCCTCCTCCCGCACCCCCATCCGTAATCCACCTCATCGCCTCGACCCAGTCCCTCCCATGCAAGCTCAGCGGCACATAGTGCACCCACTCGCGCAGCCACTCGGCGTGCCACTCGCGCGATATGCCCATCTTCAGCACAGCGCTGCCGCTCTGCAGGAAGCTGTAGAAGCGTCCACTGAAAGCGTTGCCGTCCATGTCGAGCAGGTAGCGGGAGTGCCACGCATCGTTCGGGTCCACCTTGGGGAGCACGTGGAAGGCCTCGCGCTGAGCGGTGCAGTCGCCGTTATCACACTGGCCAACTTGGGTGAACTTGATGTCGAAGAGGTCTTTGTGGTCCTGCACAGCAGTACTTTTCTCAGTCCACTCCGTGGCGCTGTCTCCCTTGGCGAGGATCGGGGTTTGGTCATTGGAATTTGCTTTCAACACGAAGCGCTGGCGGTGATGGCGGCGCCATGCCCCAAAGCGCGAGTAGCCGCCGGTAGTCCCGCCGCGCCAGTACAGAGTCTCCTGTTTCTTGGCCCATGGTATGTCCCTGGTGGCATTATAAGGCACCATGTCGTACCAATACCAGGGGGGAGGATATACGATGTCCTGGAAGCTGGATATCTTGCTCTGCGAGAATATAGGGATGAGATCCTGGGCAACGTTGAAGCTATTTGCGCTCGCGAAGAAGCCATAGTTTTTGCTGAATGACGGGGAATTGCATATATCGCTATACGCCGTCTGGTTTGATATGAAACCTAGCGGCGAGGTAATCGACTCGCTGTTGTCGTCTGGCACTTCTCCCACTTCTAGCAGAGAGCGGGATGGCGAGTCAGGTGGACACGAAAGTTTTGAGTGCGCCCAGGTTGACTGGTGAGAAAAGTGGTTAAACCGTGACGTCGGCACCTCCTTGATTCCCTGAATCAAATCCGCATGTGAACTCCACTCATTCCGGGGCTTCTCATTCAACATCGCCGTCGCTATGCTCTCTTTACCCTTCGCGACGAGTCTTTGTAAATCATCATGTGGCACCGCCACACGCGGCTCATCGTGCACATTGAATGCCAGATCCATATCTGGCAGGTACTGCGTGAACTCCCTTGTCATCCCCTTTAGTGCATCTTTCACCCATTTCTGGCCCCCCTCCGTATGCGTGACATTCCCCTGCCGGATCTGCAGCGCAATGAGCATGTTATCGTGGCCAAGAGCTTCGGTGACGCGCGCGCGCAGGACAGCAGGTGGGAGTCCCCGGAATGGGAGGAGGAGGTCGTGGATGGTGTCGAACTCGTCAACGAGGACGACCTTATGCGCTTTGGCGAAGGCGTACCACTTGTCGAAGTTTGGGGGCGGGGAGAGGCCATAGCGGCGCTTGTATTCAGCGATGGCCTGAGAGAGGCTGGTTGATTGCCGGGCCTTGAGGGCTTCGAAGTCGGCGTTGGCGTTGGCTATTAGTGTTCGTATGGGGTGGTCGCCAGGGCCAGTTGTAGGAGTTGGTGGTGTTGGAGTGGCCAGCCTGTCTCTCGTATCTCGTGAGGAGCTGGGAGGAGAAAAGATCTTTGGGATAGAGGCTGGGGCTTTGCCATCTCGTAAGAAAACTAATGTCGTAGTAAGGAGAACAGAGGCAAGTATAAGACACACAATCCGTGTCGGGGTTCTTCGTCGCATCTTGCGAGACATCCACTCACAACTATCCCTTAATTAGGACCCAAAATAAATGTTGCAAAGCCAGACAGGTCTCTGGTGATAATTCAAAATGTTTAAGAACTGTTGTTTCAGCCAGGCATTTCACTAGACGTTCCGTGAAGTGGAGGACAGTAATTTTATGTCGGGATTTCCAAAAGTAAAAACAAAGGCATTCAAGTCCTTCGTTATCTCTTATCGGAATACTTAATGTCATTGGCTGTTATGCGGACAACTGGCAGGAAGGAGGTCACGTGCAAAGTCGAAACCCTCACCCGAATTATAAACCACATCGCGAAACATTAAATGGGGATCATGAGCTTTTAATTGTCTTTATATGCACGGCTATCTAGCTTTTGCCGCTTATCCCTCTACAGATTCATACATTGGAACCAACGCCCAAAGACTTTCCATTCCCGGGATATATCCTTTTGATGTCCGATGCATTGCTTGCTCATGATACTCCAAAACGCCGTTTCCAGTCCGATAATCTAGTAGAAGAAACCGATGATCTTGCCGGCAACGTGCTTGCGGCGGGCCTCCTCGTGGTCCATGATGCCAGCGGAGGTGGTCAGGACGATGTAACCGAACTGACGGGCGGGCAGGAGCTTGACAACCCACTTCTCGAGGTCACCGAGACCAACGTTGTAGCGGGGGGAGATGACACCGGTCTTGTTGAGACGGCCGTTCAACTGGATGACGATCTTGCCGGAGCGGTGGTCATCGACCTCCTCGAACTCTCCGATGTAGCCTGAGAGATATGTCAGTATATCGCGAAAATTTAAAAGTCGCAGAGTTAATGGAAATAACATGAAACGTGTAAGATTCTCGCATGATAATATATCGGCAACTTAAAGGACTATGGTCGTAGGAATCGGAACCGTCATCTAGTTATCATGCCGAATGGCAAGGAAAGAAAACAAGAAAAAGAAGAGAGAAGTAAACGTACCGTGCTTCTGCATGACAGTAAGGAACTTGACGATGACCTTGGAGGAAGGTCTGATGAGGACCTGGCGCTTTCCGGCCTTCTCGGCGTTGTTGATGGCGTTAAGCGCATCGTTGAGGACGGAAGTCTTGACCATTTTGGCGGTGGGGGAAGGTTCTCAGGTCGTAGATTTGAAAAGAGGTACCTGCCGGGAAAATAAAGTTAGCCTTCATGGGCCTGAAGCATGGAAGAGTGCCCTCATGCTTATCATAGGGTTCTTCAGCTTTTGTCGCAAGGAGAGAAGCGTATCGGTGTCTTCAGACAGCGAGGCAGTACGTCTAGCGCATGCAGGCCAGAATGAGTGGACAATCGATTGCTCCCTCCGCCCTTATGAAGGACTTTCGAAATATAGCAACAGCATCGTGGTTTACATACCTTGTGTTTTGGATTGATCCAGTTGTCGTTGAAGAGGAATGAAGAGAAAAGTTTCGCGATACTTTGACATTAGCTCTGTTCTCCTGTTGTTGTGTGGGAGCTAGCCAATCTGGGACTAGTGTTTGCGGTTAAGCGATGAGGGCACGCACTTTAAGGCCCGCTGTTGAACATCGCAAGGTTCTTTTTCACATTCAAACAACCACTTCGAGGATCTTTCGACATTAACCTGAAAGCCATACAAGATGGTATGTACTTCCAATTCCTCAATCCAGAACCACCTCATCGATACTCCGGAGAAATCCAGACAACCCACGCACAGAAGCCATTCATGTACTAACAGCGCCCAGTCGGACGTAGAAGAGGATACCCCCGCTGTCGAGGTGCAAGATGAGGTCGAAGTCTCCGGCGAGGCTCCCAAGGGACAAATGTCGGTTCTCGATGCGCTGAAGGGCGTTCTCAAGCTCGCGCTCATGCACGACGGTCTTGCGCGCGGTCTCCGTGAGGGCTCCAAGGCTCTCGATCGTCGCCAAGCACACATGTGCGTCCTCAACGAGGCTTGCGAGGAGGAGTCCTACAAGAAGCTTGTCATGGCCCTGTGCTCTGAGCACAAGATCCCTCTCATCAAGGTCCCAGACGGAAAGCAGCTCGGAGAGTGGGCTGGTCTTTGTGCGTATATCCTGCTACTTTTTTCTGGTTTGGTCCAAGATTTATACTAATTGGTTTGCAGGCGTTTTGGATCGTGAGGGAAATGCCCGCAAGGTTGTCAACTGCTCGTGCGTTGTCGTCAAGGATTGGGGTGAGGAGTCGCAGGAGCGCTCCATCCTCCTCAACTACTTCCAGACTGAGCAGTAGAGGACTTTTGTTGGATCAGAGGTGCATGGCATGATGGACGGAGTTACACGGGGGGGGACATTGGCCATGTCACGACATGACGGTGGGATATCTTCTGATGTACTCTAGAATTGTGCAATTTGGCTGTGAATTTGTTTTTGTGTGTGTGAGCCACGTGATATGTCAGGTGACCATTCATTGGCTGTACTACTCGAGTACACGCTTATGGGCACGGGGAATAACTTCAGCTCTCCCGACGCGGAATATAAATTCCCTCAACCGGCTCAGAAGCAGCTCTAGTTCCGCACATGGCGTTGCACTTTCCTCCATCTTTTCGCCATCTCCAACAGCTGCACAAGCATGCCAAGACGCTCCATTGCCGAATGAGGAAGGCCGTGAAGAACTAGGAAGGAGGAGCACGTGCAGCGAGATTGTGTTTGACAGCTGGACGGTGCTTTCGGGAGTGAAGAGATTTTATTGATGCCAACCACAACCACTAAATCTAATAGAATACTCTGTATAGGGCCTTTTGATATCCTATCCTCGCACCGATGTGGGGGGAGCGGCCTCGGTGATGCGGCTGATGCTGGTGCCAAGCACCGAGGTCTCATTCCAACACAAGGGAGAGCTTCTTGCCTGGCGCTGCCGAGCCGGTTGGGAAAAGCCGAACGCGGCGTCAAGGGGATTGGAACTAAGATACCGACCGACGTCCCTCCTATATCCGTTTTCATCGCATCTGAACCGAGTGCACGGCACAAACGCCCATTGACTAGTGCCGCAAGATGAATAACCTGTGTGCTGTACCGTCCTGTATGGGGCTCTTAAGGTGGCGTGTACTACCTACCTACTCGTACACCGTGGAACAGCGAGGTCCTTTGCGGCGTCGAGACGCGAGCCCGTCTTGCCACCAACAAGTGATGTGATAGATGTCGTATCGGCTAACGGTCCTGCCGCTGTCCTTCTTCTCACCTGCCACATCTGGACCGAGACAGATCATCCCATACTTCCAATCGATAGTACAACACTAGAGTGTAGCCATCCCATGGTGCCATGGTCTGGCGCTGGTCTCAGTCCCACAAGATACCCACAAGGAGCTCTATCTTCCATCCAACATCCCTTCTGCGATCTGTAGCCCGCCCCGCAACTCATCCCTCCCATCTCCGTACCTAGCAAGGATGCTCCTGTCACTCCAATCCCCCCTGTTCTGCTAGCTATCTCGACTGCAATTCTGGGAATATGGTCTGTCTACCCCCTGTATTGCTCGTGGCCATGGGCGATGACAGACCGGGGTCGAGGTTGGGGTCGCACGACCGCCCTTGCCCATCGCCAGGAGCTGTCTCAATGCGCATATATTCTTGCCAGTCCCCCCCCCCTCCCTTGATGCATAGAAGCTACAAGTTTCCAGACACGGTTGTTCCACCCCCACCTACCGTGACCGAGAGACGACGATCATTATGGAGAAGGATAAGTCTATCGCCGGCGAGACTCCGGTCTACGTCGACGTGTCGGGGTCCGACAAGGTCATCGATGAGAAGGCTGAACATGTTAGCCATCACGACGCGTTGGACTCGAAGGCTGCCAACATCAGCGCCTGCCAGGTCGAGCCCATACAGGGCGAGACTCACTCGTTGAAGGATGAGCTTTTGGCAGATGAGGAGATTGATTTATTCAAGCCCTTCCCCATCGACCCTTCTCACCCTGTCGAGGAACGTATCCTCACCATCCGCGCCTTGGTGACCGGCATCGCCCTCGGCGCCCTCGTAAATGCCTCCAACTTATATCTCGGTAGGCGCAAAACCCCTCTTCTCGAGGGATTCACTAACAATCGCAGGCCTTAAAACTGGTTTCACCTTCAGCGCAAGCATGTTCGGTGCCATTTTCGGGTACGGTTGTATCAAGTTCCTCTCGCGGACCACAGGTAACATGCCTATCCTCGGCGGTTCCTTTGGTCCACAGGAGAACACCATCATCCAGGCCGCTGCTACCGGAGCCGGTGGTATCGCTGGTCTCTTCGTCGCGGCCCTGCCAGCCATGTACCAGCTTGAGCTGATGAGCAATCTGCCAAGCGAGGATATTGGAAGGATATTCACCATCACCCTGATCTGTTCTTTCTTCGGCCTCTTCTTCGTGACCCCGCTTCGTCGATTTTTTATCATCCAAGTGGCTAAGGAGCTCAGACTGATCTTCCCTACTGGTAAGATACACCAGCACACCATATTGGTGCATGACTAATTTTCCCAATTTTCTCAGCGACGGCAACGGCTCTCACCATTAGGTCCATGCACGCCGCAGGCTCTGGTGGTCTCAATGCCGTTAGGAAGCTGAAGGCTCTGGGGTATACATTCATTGCCGCTGTGATCCACCGTGTCGCATCATACTATGCCATTGGTATCCTCTACGACTGGCACGTGTTTACCTGGTAAGTCTCCTATCCAGATAACCAAGTAAATTTTGTCTAACATCGCAGGATCTACATCTGGAGCGGCCATAATAACTGGGCAATCAACATCGAAAACTGGGGCTGGTACATCGAAATCACTCCTGCCTTCATCGGTTCCGGTATGCTCATCGGTCTCAACTCGGCCCTTTCTATGTTCGGCGGTGCATTCCTCGCTTGGGGCGTAATCGGACCTCTCCTCGTCCACTACGGAGAGTGTATCGGCAAGGCCTACGATCCGGAAGACCCAATCTGGCACGATTACACGTCCTTCAGCTCTCTGAAAAACCTAGGCAAGGAGGCTCCCTCGCCACGTTACTGGCTCTTATGGCCGGGTGTCATGATCATGGTGTGCGCGTCGCTCGCTGAGCTCTTCATCCAGTACAAGGTCATCTGGATCGCCTTCAAGTCCGTATTCCGCCAGTTCAACACTGCCATCGACGAGGCGGCGAGGAAGCGCGGCAAAGTTATCCCTTTCTGCGCTCGCCATGCTGGTACTATGGACTCATCCGACCTCGTCGAGGACCCATTCCCAGCGGAGCAGCAGGTTAAGGATTGGATGTGGATGCTTGGCCTTACCGTAACCCTCGTCGTCTCTTTCATCATCTGCCACTTCCAGTGGCAGATGAACGTCGGCCTCACTATCTTGGCATGCGTCCTCGGTTTCATATTTGCCTTCCTCTGTATCCAGATCGGCGCCGTCACTGATACCACACCCCTCACCGCCGCCTCCAAAGCCTCTCAGCTCGTCTTTGGTGGTGCCACTTCCGGCCACGGTTACTCCATCAAGGATGCACAGCGTCTCAATCTCATTGCTGGAGGTATCGCCTCCGGCGCTGCCGACGTGGCCACCAACCTCACTGCGGATTTCCGTACTGGTTTCCTCCTCCGCACCCCGCCTCTGAAACAATGGATCGCCCAGGCCATCGGCACCATGGTCTCCGTTTTCCTCGCCCCTGGGATGTTCGTCCTCTTCACCTCCGCCTACCCCTGCATCATCCACCCCGCCAACTATGACCATTGTCCCTTCCAGGCTCCGTCCGTGGCTTCTTGGGCCGCTGTCGCCCAGGCCGTCACTGACCCCAGCATCGGCATCCCCATCAAGGCCGGCATCTTCGCCTGCGTCATGGGCGCCGTGTCTGTCATCCAGGTCATCTTCCGCCACTACTACCTCGTCGGCGAGCGTGAGAAGTACCGCGCCTATCTTCCCAACTGGGGTGCCATCGCGCTCTCCTTCGTGTTGCCCGTTCCCGTCTTCACCAATGCAGCGCTCCTTGGTGCCATCATTGCCGCTGTCTGGCGCAAGTACCGCTATGCCAACTGGGATATCTACGGATATGCTGTTGCGGCTGGTATGATTGCTGGGGAGGGTATGGGTGGTGTCATTGGTGCCGCACTGCAGCTCGGGGGAGTTTCGGGAGATGTGTACGGCACTAACCTTGGGTGCCCTATGCTCCAGTGTTAGTTGAGGTTGGGGATGTATGTAGGAGCGGCGGGGCTATATACTGGGCTCAGTGGGTTCTGTAGAGCACTACTTGACTGACTGGTGCTGTTGAACGGCCGTTAATGACACTAGGTTGATGAAACTCCATGTGTTTTTCGTGATTCTTGTGAAACTGCTTCTACGATACCTCTTTCCAAGCGTGATACCCTTCATCTCCCACGACCTCAACTCCAACAGTATATTAGTCCCGTATCCCCCACCAACTCCATAAACTCGCCGTACTTGTAAACTGGCTGTAGATGAGGTCGCGTCAACCTTTTAAGGTTCTGATAGGCGCTGAGTGACCCACCACGGGACTCCGGGGGGGTGGCGCTCTGTAATTCACCAGAAAGCGAACAGTACAGTAGAGGCTCGATAAGACGATATTCAATTAGACGATATATTCGATAGTGCGATATTTTATCGGAACCGATTGATTTTATAACTGTAATATATGATATTTTTGAAGCCTTTGATACTCAATATGCCACGAAAACAACGAATCCACATACACTAGCGACAAGCCCTACGTGCGTGGGCCTTTAAACAAACTCCTCGACCTTCTCAAAAAGCCTGTATTACATGTTTCTATGATAATTACAGCCAACGAATAGGACAGTCCACTATCTCTGAGTCTCTCTCGGCTCATTTTGAGTCTATCGATAACTCTGAGAGCCCTAGACAGTTAGCGCGCATACGAACCGGAAACTAGCCAGATCTTGAGGCAGTTCTATTCAATTAGCAACTCTAAATCGAAGAACAGGGTAACAAGTGGAGAACTCCTACAGCAGAAGGCTCAACAAATCTAGCGTTAATTGCTTTAATATTCACAACGTCCTTCCCTGAGTTCAGTGTCGGCTAGCTTCAAAATTCAAACGGCGACATCATATTTAGGATTACCGTTAACACAGAGAGCTTAGCTCGTTCAGCAAGCAGTGGAAATGGGAGAGATCTGTGGGAGGCCTGACAACAGACTGTATGAATGCAATAGTCCCCGAGGACCCGAGCCAAGACATCTCTATCACCTTGTCCGTTGGCCTCAAGATGGGTCTTGACTTGATCCGCAAATTCAAACTAACGCCTACATGAACTTCATGTATCCCCCTATCACGCGAACCACATCTCCAGCAGGGACGGTACCTTCGCCGAGTATATTAACGTCGTGATGTTCATAGTGTGGTGGATTCTCTGGTGTATCAGGATGGTATACTCGGATCGATTGACCTCTGCAAATTATTTTCCTCTCATTGTCTACTGCAGGAAACAGTTCAAAGCCTATTTTTTCTTGACCTGCAAACACGTCCTCGGGCATAATTATGACTTGTGATGTGCTATGAAATGGCCTGATGCCACGAACGATCTAGATTACTTGGGCTCGTCCGGTGGTGGGGCTCAATGCCATGTGATTTGCTCAGCAAAAGTTAGGCTCCAGTGCTTTCGGGTTGCGAGGTTCAACACTGGCCATGGGCCCATTTGCCATTAGGATAACCTAATTGCTCCATAAATCTCCAGATATCGCGATGTCTAATCAAGCCAGCCTTTGCTCTTCGCGAGAGTCTGGTCGCCTCACTAGTTCCATAGGTTTGTAGACCAGTTGTGGGCTGAACTTACGTTCCCACACAAATTTCCACGCCAAGGAAATTGGGCGGTTAATCCCAATGTCGGCATTGTGGTTTCTCCCGCATGCCGGGGTTTGCCAGTATCCAGGGTTAGCACAAATAATCATAATAATCATGACTATTCGAATAGTCAAATATTACATAAGCATGATTATGATTAACGTACATGTATAACGAACCGGCCAAACAAGCGAACCGGCCAATCCATTTTACACCTTAAATCACGAATTTCATAACTTAATATCTCAACAACCCTTTAATAATAAGTTATAAAAATATGTACTTAGCCTTTTATAAGCATTTAAAGTACTCTATTTGATTTTTAAAGCAATTAGTATTGTAGTTATTAAGATACTAAGAATTAGGTCAAAAGTGGGGGCTAAAACTCAATATCTTAATAACTACAATACTAATTGCTTTAAAAATCAAATAGAGTACTTTAAATGCTTATAAAAGGCTAAGTACATATTTTTATAACTTATTATTAAAGGGTTGTTGAGATATTAAGTTATGAAATTTGTGATTTAAGCTGTAAAATGGATTGGCCGGTTCGTTAACGTATTTCACAAGCGAGTTGGCCACCCAAGCAAGTTGGCCACCAAAACACCAAAATTGACTATTACTGCCTACTACTACACCACCACCCTACATAATGACCCTTATTCGATCGTAATTGAATCCTTGTGCCTCGTACATGTACGGGAGTTATGGCCCATAATACCACATATGCCACAGCGCTTCTGTCGGCCTGTAGAACCCACCTGCCGACAATGCTCACTTGCCACCTCCGTACGGACTTGAGCTTCTACCTCAGCACTCTGAAGCATATCCTCTCCCTCTCGTACGGAGAGACTGCCCCCTTGCATTATACGCCTCTTGCGCTTCCTTTCCCTCCTCTTTTTCTGTTCATTTGCCGCTTGTAGAGCCTTAACTTCTGCCTTAAGTAGAACAGCAGAATGCATCATCATTTCCGCCCCTTTAACAAGGCAGCTAACAGCATCATTAATTGAGGTAGGAGAGCTATTCTGATGTCGTACGATGCGGTTCTTAATGTGCTCTGTTTGAAAGTTAAGCTCCCTTATAGTTTGAGGAGTCTTTGAAGTCCAATTGTCACTCTCAACTATAGGAGGTGTTGGAGTCCTTAAGCGTAGATTTAAGTGAGAGAGGACACTCTGTGGCTCGTACGGAACTAGTCCTGTAGCTCGGAATCCGCTCTTGATGTTCTGCTCTGTAAACGTAGCTTTGAATGCTTCTTTGAATGCAGAGAGGAACTCAAGCTTTGTGATGTGGTTTAGCCGGTTCCGTACGAAGGTTTCAATCTGCTTTCCGTACGAAAGCTTTAGTGGCGCAAAGCAGCTCACATCAAGAGGCTGAAGAATGTGTGATGAGTGTGGTGGCATACAGAGGGTAATTATCTTCCGTTCTGTGCAGTAGTGTTGAAATTGAGCAGAGATGTGGCTCTCATGTCCATCAAGAATAAGAAGGCGATAGGTTCCGACCGTACGAGCATTTGTATGTCGATTGAAGTGTTGAATCCACTCATACCCAATTGAATTTGAAGTCCACCCATTCTCACTAAGCGTAATCACCCAATTGTCTGGTAATCCTGAGTCTTCGTACCAAGCTGAGAGGTGATTCTGCGCCTTGAAAATAATGAACGGCGGGAGTGCCCATCCGTACGAATTAACACCTTGGATAATTGACACCCACTCTCTATTCCCTGGCTGTATAGTCTTCGGACGGCTCTTTGCTTCTGAGCTTGTGACTACCTTTGCAGTAGCAATAACTCCCATTGCGAAACCTGCTTCATCAAAGTTGTAGATGTCCTGCTCTAAGATGCCATATTTTGCGACTGTGTTTCGTACGAGGGTGAACCACCCTTCAATTATCTTTGGATCTTCGCATTTTGCTCGTTTGTAATCGTACTTCCGACTAAACTTTGCTTTAAGTTCCGTACGACGCGTTATGAAGTTACTAGTCCAGTTCTTCCCAGTAGGGCTCTCACCTCGTTCGGAGAGTAGTAGGTCTGCCATTTCTTGCACAGCTTGCGGCCGGGGCGGAAATCCACGCGAATCTAGGTCGAGAATATACTGAACAAGAGCTGACTCTTCGTACGAAGTTAGGTTTTGTGATTTTGGGGTAGAATCACGTCGGGAGGTCATTCCATTCATTCTGTTGGTAAGGGTACTACGTGACACGTCGTATGATAATGCAGCAGCTCGGACACTCTTAAATTGACGTTCCTTTAGTGCCTGAATAGCTAATAGTATTCTACCCTCTTGATTTGAGGATTGGGCTTGTGTTGGTTGTGGCATAGTTGACTGTAGTCAAGTTGACGCGTTTTGGTGTTTTGGTGGCCAACTTGCTTGGGTGGCCAACTCGCTTGTGAAATACGTTATACATGTACGTTATGAGTTTTTGATAATCATGAATATTCATGATTATCACATGATAGAATCACGTGGCCTAAGTAATTATCTAGTATAGTAGAAAAGGAAACCAAATATATATTAATCTATCTAAATACTTCTTAAAGTATTAATTTAGCTATAAATTCCTCTTCTAGATCCTCTTCTTCTTCCTTTATAAAATCCCAACTCTTTAAACAAGCTATTACTCTAAAAATGTCTTTAGAAAGCCTATTTCTAATCTTTGAAATAATAAGGCTACCTATACTAAAAAAGCTCTCTATAGGAGCACTAGTAGCAGGGATTTGTAAATAGCGCCTAGCTATAGTAGCTAGAATTGGAAATCGAGATTGATTGATTTTTCAATAGTCTAAAGGATTAATCTATATAATATTAGTAAGTTAATTATTAAAGAGGGTTAATAGCTTACCTTATAATGAGAAATAGGTTCTTGGAAATAGATAGAAGTTTCTGTTTCAAAGTCATCTTCTATAGTTTGAGAATATAATGATCTTTCAAAGTCATCTAATAGATTATCTTCTTCATTCTCTTGTTGCTGTTGTTATTGTAGTTGTTGTTGTGTTAGAGGTAATTCATTATTAAATTCCTCCCTTAATACTTTATTAACATATTAGTATATAATTTAAAAATATAATATATAAATATACCTTTGATATACTTCTTCTACAGCTTCTATAGCTTTATACTCATCTTGTTGTGTATAATGTAGCTTACTTAGCCCTATTTTCTTTAAACGAGGGTCTAGTAGTAAAGCTATAAATAAAGGTTTATTCTTCTCTTCATAATGATTAGGAGAGTAGTATTTCTTTAATTTAGCAGTCCTTTCTTAATAGCAATATCTATTTTAGAACCCTATATTAATATTAGTATAAAGTTAGATAGAAAAGGGGTATAAGACTTACTGTTGCTATTTTATCTTCTATAGAAGATAAATTTTGAAATATTTGCCTTATTAAAGGTAAGAAGTGATATAAAGTAGGGTATTCTTTCCCTTGTAATTTTTTAGTTGCTTTAATAAAGACTTCAAATATTTCTTTATAAGTCTCTAAAACTAAGCAGTCTTCTTCTTTTAACCTAATGCTTTCTTTATCTTCAAATACCTTAGCTTTAGATGTTGCAATAACAATCTCTATAGGTTATTTAAGATTTAAAAAGTTATTAAGCATATAATAAGTAGAAGACCACCTAGTAGCATTATCTATAAATGTTAGTATTTTCTCGGACCATAGTGTGGTAGTCTCCCTTCCATTGACTTTTGATAACCGCTACGCGGCTACGGAATTGAGGGGTCAACTTGTTCCACATGTACCGAAACCATTCCGACTCTGTGACCTGTCCCGTAATAGCTGCACTTTGGAAGCGAGCTTTGAACTCTGAGAAAGTCTCGTTGGTATGTCCTTTCTCTCCCATTTGGAGGTCGTCGAAGAGGTTCCGGGCCTGTTCCGTTTCGTTGCCAGTGAGGTAATATGAACCCAACAGGTCCATCATCTCGTCGGCACTCCGAAACCCATGTGTCGCGGATAGGTATTGGGGTTCGAGGTATTTCTTTGCCAGGCCAGTCGTAGTCCCCCATATCAACGCTCTTCTCGAGACGTCGGTAGGGTAGTGATCCTCATTGACTACGAGGCGGTCCCGAATGGACGCGCTCCATTGCATAAAGGTATGTTCTATCCCATCGCTGAGCGGCGTAATCTTCTCAGAGATGGTGGATTTCTTGTAGCGATTCGGAGGGTCTTCGGAATACATCCTCGGAATCGATGGAGAACGAGTGTTTCGAAGAGGCGGCAACTGAACTGTCTCGGGGGTGTTTCGCATAGGGGAAGTTCGTCGCTCCTCAACTTCGACGGTGTCCACCTGTGGCGTGGACGGTATTCTGGTCTGGGTTGCCGCTAGGTTGGCTATCATTTCCTTGATCTCTTGCATCTGGATCTCGAGGTTTGCCATTCGATCCGGTATGTCATCGGTGGGTGCAGCGGTCGTAGCTGCAGCGGTGGTTTGTCTCGTTGACATTCGTGACGGTTGACCATCATTGTCTTGGGGGATGTTTGAGGTCATTTTCCTCATATTGGTTCGGGAGTGTATCGGTGTCGATACGAAAGAGTTTGACTTCCGGTAGCTCGTAGCTATCAACACTCTTGTTCACAATTGCCTCTGTGCTTGAGGGGGTTCTTAAGGATCTCGTATCCTATTCGGCGCCAACGCGTCGGCGACTTTACCAGCTTGCTCTGCAGGATCAAACCCTGATCCACTGGTTGTCCGTGAGTTCTCTGGGGTCACGGCTATTTGAAGTCGTCAGGTCTCTACTTCGAAATGTCACTGAGTCGCGGTCGGTGGTGTTTCGACAGTTCTCCTGAGTCGTTCCGTTGTGGGATATTATTTAAGTACGGCCGTCCCCGGCAGGCGTGATCTTTTTTGTATAATGTAAGGACACAGGGAATACGGCTCTCCGTAGGTGCATATGGGAGTGCGAGTCGGAGGTGATGCTGTATTCTATCCTATAGGTCTACTACGAAGGATACAAAAAAGATGAAGGTGTCACCCTGTATGGCTGTTCCCTTAAAATACCCGAAACCGCTCCGACTCAGCTAGCTCCCTGTTTGCCTAAGGCTTCCTTACGTTATGTGCCTAAGGCTGTCAGTCGCGACTGACCCGTAACGGCCCCGAGTCTCGATGGCGCCACGTGACGGCCGTAACTACCCCGAGTAAGGAGGCATCCTTACAGATAATATCACGCATACTTAAATCCATCGTTTGCGAAGCACATAAAGCATTGATCAGCTGCTCAAGCTTCAAAGCGTTCTCAAGCATATAATATGTTGAGTTCCATCATACAGGCATATCGAGGGACATTGAAACCACCTGAATACCCATAGCAGATGCTTGTACTTTCAATGCATCTTTCCATGCTCGACAGTTCCGGAAGACATAGATATGCCGGCATAGTTTTATAAGAACCATTGCCACTTCTTCTTTATTAAGAACGAAGCCTTGAGTATGAGCTAAGCCTTGCTTAAGCCTATACAATTCCGTTTGTTCTGATGGTACAGCTTTTAACATAGTTAAAGCTGCTTGAACTGCAAGGTTTATAATGTGTGCCATGCATCGGACGTCACCTTCCTTTACTGTAAAGCTCCATGGTTGCTGTATAGAAACGATGCTCATGCATTACCCTATTTCAAACTCTGCGAGCATTGCTGTATTGTTTGATGTGTTGTCTCTAGTAATTGTAAAGACTCCGTTCGTAATACCAAAGTCGTCCGTAACAGCTTGAAGCTGCTCTGCAAGATATTCACCGGATGAATGGGCTCCTTTAGATGTATGATATCAAGAACACAGTGCCGGTGAACCCATTCGTTATTTATCCAATGAACAGTTATCGCAGCGTGCTCTGCACCATTCATTGCAGACCATGAATCAGTCGTAAGTGATAACCGTCCGCCCTTTATTATATGAGCCTGGAGTTCTATCTGTAGCTTCATACGGTGGTTGCAGAATGTCTTGTGTAAATCTCGCATTAAGGAGCTCGTTGATATAGCTAACGTTGAAGGGCTAAGCTGATGAATAAGCTGACGAAACGAAGGCTGATCAACCAGACTCATTGGTAAGTTATTAGATACAATAAATGCAAGTAATAACTCTCTATATCAAGAGGCAAGAACGGATCCTCCTACTCGAGGAGTAAAGAATTGTTGGGCGTTTCGGGCTGTTCTCATATTCGGAGCGCCCTGCGAATCCTGCGAACTCTGACTCTGCGAACTCTGAGCATGCTGTAGCAATGGAATTCCTCGTTTATAGCTTTGTATAATGCAGGATGCATGCTTTCAACATGCCTCCACAAACTACTCATGATATTCCATGATAAAAGCTTCGGTTTTGGCTTATAATTACAGCCATCTTGCATACAGACAATCTTCATCGTTGCAGGGCTGGTGCTTAACAATGTTCTACTGAATACATTCTTTAAGAACAACGGTGACTGAGTATTTGGGAGTTGTGGCTGTATTTGTAGTAATGGTAGAGCTATCGACGGTGAAGACTCGAATGGAAAAGGGGGTGGTAGACGTGAATTTCCTCATCTTCGTCACTTGGAATTACGGATAGCTCAGAGTCGCTCATTCTGGTAGAAATATCAATTGGTATATTATCTATGGATCTATTTCTACGGATCTATCTATGGGGGCGGGGTAAAATCTTTCGTAGCTTGGCATCCTGGGCCGTGCTTGCCAAGGACTCGAATAGTATTCGAGTCTTTGGCAAATACTCGCCGAATACCCCAATTTTAGCCTGAATACTGCTCATCGCCAAATACTATTCGAAAACCACAAATACTAATACTATTTTGGGGAACACTGGTCGTATTCAACGCTAAATCATTGAAGCTTTAGTCTCAATGTGATAATATCTGCAGGTGCCTCTAGATATGATTCTTGACAAGTATAAATTGAACTGCATGTTGAATTAAATTAAATTTGGTACATGAGCAACTTCATTGAATATTTCTCTTAATTCCAACACTTGTTTTTCAATAAAAAACAATGGTGAAAATAGAAAGGTGAGCCTCTAGCTACCCATCCCTGTGGTCTACTTCAACTAATACCGTCAATATAGTCTCTCATGGACCCGAGCTATCATTGCAAGCATGCAGGGTTACCAAATTATTCAACGTATTCTTGAATATTTAAGTTAAATATTACAATACAAGTATTGTCGACCGGCGCTGTGGGCGCCGGTTTGTAAGCAGCCTGCCATGAAGCCACAAAAGCACGTGATTGGGCGTTGGTCACGTGACCCTAATGTGTCAAACGCGAATATTTCCACAACCCCCCACCAACCTCACTTTCCTTCATCATCAACAACGCGATGGCCACCACCACCACCCCCACCACTGAGGCTTCTGGCCTCAAAGCCACCAGTAAGTTCAATTCCTTCCTTTTCCTTTGTTTTGTTTGATTGATTACTGTATACTAACCTTCAGATAGAAGATCTGGCTGCCGTCACCCCCACCAACATGTAATTGTGGGTGCACCAGATGTGAGAATCTAGCCACCCAAGGAAGGGATGAATTTACTAAGACAACACACTGTCTTAGAAAACAGAGCCAAAGGGTCGTAGCTTAGACTATTCCACAATGCAGCAATCAGGTGTGTGATGTAGTGAAGTGGTTCAGACAAGTTGCAACAAATGTTGAGTCTGGGAACTCAGGGGTAAGTCAGAGGTTAACACCTCACTGACTTTTCAGAAACAAGGAGTAACAAGATGAATGCTTGGAAGCTTGGAAAAGACGTGGAAGTATGTGATAGTCGATTTACTGTATTGTCTGCTTGCCCTTTCTTAAGGAAAGGGCAATCCTATTTATGCTAAAGGAATGTAGTTCTCTCATTTTCCAAGACTTTCCATGACTTACCAGGCTTGGTAACTGTAGTCGATTGTAACGCTGACTTCTAAACGATAGAAGACACAGAGGTTCTCTTGCGTAAAGGTTTACTTATCAGAGGAGGCAGGGGATCGGACACAAAGGCTTCAAGTAACACGTTACTAGTATATAACAAATACTGTATTGAGTTGAGCACGAAGCTCCTATCTAAGGAAATACTATCTACTTATATAGTGGCGTCGTGCCTAGTGGACTCCTGGGAACTCACTCGAGTCCTCGGAGTCCTGGACTCTTAGGATTCTTGTCATCATCCTGCGAGTCCGTCACGTGCCTAGTGGACTCCTGGGAACTCACTCGAGTCCTCGGAGTCCTGGACTCTTAGGATTCTTCTCATCATCCTGCGAGTCCGTCACGTGATACTTTCGGAACTACTATTCCCCGCTGCCCCTCCAGGTACCAGGGCCGGTCTCATGTGACCTCCCTCCTTCCTGTCCTGTAGTTGGCCAGCCTTCTTGTTCCGTCGTAACAAGAGGGTTGTAGAGATATGCTATGTGGTAATATCGGCCCAGTAACTAAGGAGTGATGATGTGTAATGAATCATAGATGGTTGTAGCAATCGTTGAGTAGTATTGCTCTTGTTGTTGGTGTGATAAGCCAAAATATGTATAGTGACTTGTAGGTTTGAGGAGGACATTTCCAAGTTTGCTCTTGAGTTTGATAGCAAACTGAGTGCAACGAATGTCAGTATGACACAACACCCTCACGACCACCACCACGACTGAAGCTGGCGCCACACCAACGGCAACCGGTAAGTAACACCCCTCCCTCTGATCAATTGATAGATAGATACTAACAACTGGATAGATGAAGCTGCCTCTGAGTCGACTGTCCCGACCCCAACCTCCGCCACTACGGATACGACCTCGACCTCGACTGCACTGACCGCAACACCGACTGCAACACCGACCAGTAAGTAACACCCCTCCCCCCGCACGATCGATAGATGGATGCTAACAACTCAATAGGTGATGAGCCCTCTGTGTCGCTGAAGTCTCCGATGACCACCCCAATGTCACCGCCACCTGACCCTGTGTCATCTCCGGTGCGCCCCTTGACGGCGCCAGAACTTGCGGCCTGCCCGTCGCCCGCAACACCCGCACGCCCGGCTACAGCTGTAAGAAGTAAGTAACACCCCTCCCCCGCAAGATAGATAGATACTAACAACTGGATAGGTTTACCGCGTCCAATCGTCCTCGACTCTCCAACCCAAGGCCAGCAGATTGTAACGCTGACTTCTAAACGATAGAAGACAGAGAGGTTTCTTGCGTAAGGTTGACTTGACAGAGGAGGCAGGGATTAGACACAAAGGCTTTCCAAGTAACACGTTACAGTATTGTAAAGAATACTATATTGAGTTGAGCACAAAGCTCCTATCTAAGGAAATACTATCTACTTATATAGTGGCGTCGTGCCAAAGGGATATCCGTGGATCCCCGTTGTCATACTGACATTCGTTGCACTCAGTTTGCTATCAAACTCAAGAGCAAACTTAGAAATCTCCTCCTCAAACCTACAAGTCACCATACATATCTTGGCTTATCACACCAACAACAGAAGCAATACTACTCAACGATTGCTGCAAACTCTTCTACTACATCTGTTTATGCTACATACATCACGGCCATATCATTTGAACACTCATTGAACAAGTTATTAAGAAAATCTCCTCCTTAAGGGGGTGGGCCAATACTACCACATGGCATATCTCTACCAACTAGAGGCCTAGGAACATGAACGATAGCTCTAGAAGCTTCTACAACCCTCTATGATTCATTACACGTCATCGCTCCTTAGTTACCCACAAGATTGGTTAAGTTATGACATAATTTGTCTATAGGTACTCTGACCTTGGACCTCCTTTTCACTTCCTATAGGCTAGGAACCCAAGAGATGGTTCTATGGGATTCTCTTACGTTCACTACATGATTAGCAAGCTAGTTGTGGGTCGCACTTGATTTCTAATACATTTACCAAGCCTGGTTAGTCATGGAAAATCATGGAAAATGAGAGAACTACACTCCTTTGGCATAAATAGGATTGCCCTTTCCTTAAGAAAGGGCAAGCAGGCAATACAGTAAATCGACTAGCACATACTTCTACGTCTTTTCCAAGCTTCCAAGCATTGATCTTGTTATTCTCTGTTTTTTGAAAAGTCAGTGAGGTGCTAACCTCTGACTTACCCCTGAGTTCTCAGACTCAACATTTGTTGCAACTTGTCTAAACCACTTCACCACATCATACACCTGATTGCTGCGTTGTGGAATAGTCTAAGCTACAACCCTTTGGCTCTGTTTCCTAAGACAGTGTGTTGTCTTAGTAAATTCATCCCTTCCTTGGGTGGCTAGATTCTCATATCTGGTGCACCCACCATTACACCCGTGGATAACATGGATAACATAATATCCAAGATATCCAATGTTATCCATCACATGACATTCTGTGGATCGCCGTGGATAACATGGATAACATAAGATCCATGATATCCAATGTTATCCATCACGTGAGGTTGCAGCTGTAAGCGCTAGCCATAGCACTAGCACTTAGCCATAACAGTCAAGTCTTACGGATAGTTAAGGATAGGTTCTTAAGGATAGGCGACAACAACACCCGTAGACAACCATAGATGGCCGTAACAGAACAGAAACACCCTCAAAAGTAGACATTAGAGGCTAAAAAGTAGTATAGGACGTATGTCTAATTGATTCCAACTAAAACCTAAGGATATACTACATTCTGGGTAGTATTATCCTCTCCTTCAGGGAGTAGGACCTGTAGTCCAGCTACGGAGGACGTCCGTGACATTGCAACGTAAAACTGCCCATGACTAAACATAGCTGCCCGTAGATCAACACCTACATGCTTAAACGACTGGCCTTGAGACTTATTAATAGTCATAGCAAAGCATAAGAACTCTACGCGCTAAACCTATAGAAGTAGGAAGTGGGGCTAGAACGTAACGTAGCCAATCCCAAATTTCGACAAATGATAGCCAATCAATCGGTCTTGGCCTTTTATAATGTAGTATAGTATAGATTATGTAAGCTTGAATAATGTGCATGTATAACGAAAGTGCCAAACAAGCGAAAGTGCCAAAATGATGCGGTGACCAACCCCCCCAACTAAATGTTAAATTCCTCCACAACAAAACATGCGCCATAAAAATGATGAAAGCAAATTAGTGCTAGCTATCCAAGCTATGCAAAGCGACCCAAATTTGTGCCTTCGAGTTGCAGCTAGGATCTATTCCGTAGACCACCGCAAGCTACGTCACCGTTTACAAGGCATACCTTCACGACGCGATATCCAAGCCAACTTACAGAAATTAAGTAACCTAGAGGAATCAGTTCTTGTTCAGTATATACTTGACTTAGCTGCTAAAGGGTTCCCTCCTCAGTTGTCTATTGTTGAAGATATGGCAAATCGACTACTTGCAACACGCGACGCGCCACGCGTCGGGTCACGTTGGGCTTCAAACTTTGTTAAGCGCCATGTAGAGCTCCGGACACGCTTCCAGTGAAAATACGACTACCAGAGGGCTAAGTGCGAAGATCCATAAGTCATTCGTGGCTGGTTTGAGCTTGTATGGAACACAATTCTAAAGTATGGCATCAACAATGCAGATATCTACAACTTTGATGAGACTGGGTTTATGATGGGCGTCATCTCAAGCGCAACGGTAGTAACGAGCTCAGATGGGTGGGCAAAGGCAAAAAAGGTGCAGCCTGGCAATCGGGAATGGGTTACAGTAATCCAAGGCATTAGTTCTCAAGGTTGGGCAGTGCCGCCATTTGTCATTGTGGCAGGTAAAAACCACCTTGCATCTTGGTATGAGAATAGCGGATTTCCAGCAGATTGGGTAATCGCTGTTACTGCAAATGGCTGGACTACAAACGAGAGAGGTATGGATTGGATTCAGCATTTTGAGAAGCACACAAAGCCCCGGAGTGTTGGTGGTTATCGCTTGTTAGTCCTTGATGGTCATGAGAGCCACCACTCAGACAAGTTTGAGGAGTACTGCAAAGAACACCCATTATTACGCTTTGTATGCCTGCTCACTCTTCCCATATACTCCAACCACTTGATGTTGGCTGTTTTGGCCCATTAAAGAGAGCTTACGGTCGGCAAATTGAAGATATGATGCGGGCTCATATTATTCACATTACTAAGGATGACTTCTTTCCTGCCTTCCACACTGCATTTAACATTGCAATGACAGAAAGCAATATTCAGGGAGGGTTCCGAGGTGCTGGGCTTCTTCCATTTAGCCCTGAGAGTGTAATATCTACACTTGACCTTAGGTTTAAGACGCCAACACCTCCAACCTCTCGCCCAAACACCGCTCAACCATGGGTTTCTCAGACACCAAATAACCCAACTGAAGCTGCATCACAGTCTACTTTCATTAAAAACTGAATTGCACATCATCAAAATAGCTCTCCAACCTCAATCTATGCAGCTGTTGACCAGTTTACAAAGGGTGCATCGCAAATAATGCATCAATTAGCATTGTTAAAAGCAGAGAACCAAAACTTGCGACAGGCAAATGAAGTGCTAAGCAAGCGCCGGAGAGCTAAAAAAACACGACTACAGCAAGGGGGATCACTTAGTCAACAGGTAGCACAGGAGCTACAGGACGAGAGGGACATTGTGCAGCAAGTAGAGCAAGAAATAAGGGCAAGTAGTGGTCGGAAGCCAAGGGAAGAAACCCATGCACGTCGCTGTGGCAAGTGTGGTGAGACTGGACACAATGCGTGCACCTGTCAGATTGTAATAGACAGGTCTGAGGAATAGGACTCCGAGTAGTTTTAATTAATTTATATTGTTGTGGTGGATTTATCGCAATTCTTATGGGGTAGTCGCGATATTTTGGCACTTTCGCTTGTTTGGCACTTTCGTTAACGTACATGTATAGCGAAAGCGCCAAACAAGCGAAAGCGCCAAAATTATCTACCCTCACGACAAACATTGCGATAAATCTACCACAACATTAGAAATCAATTGAAACTACTCGGAGTCCTCTTCCTCAGAGGTGTCTATTACAATCTGACACGTGCGCGCATTGTGCCCAGTCTCACCACACTTGCCACAGCGACGGGCACGGGTTTCTTCCCTTGGCTTCCGACCACGGCTTGCCCTTATTTCCTGCTCTACCTGCTGCACAACATCCCTCTCATCCTGTAGCTCTTGCGCCCCTTGTTGACTAAGTGATCCTCCTTGCTGTAGTCGTGTTTTCCTAGCTCTCCGGCGCTTGCTTAGTACTTCATTTGCCTGTCGTAGGTTTTGGTTCTCTCCCTTTAGCAGTGCTAATTGATGCATTATTTGCGATGCACCCTTTGTAAACTGGTCAACAGCTGCATAGATTGAGGTTGGAGAGCTATTTTGATGGCGTGAAATCCGAGTTTTAATAAATGTAGACTGTGACATAGCTTCAATTGGGTTGTTTGGTGTCTGAGAAACCCAAGGTTGAGCAGTACCTGGGCGGGAGCTTGGAGGCGTTGGTGTCCTTAACTTAAGATCAAGTGTAGATATCACTCTCTCAGGGTCAAATGGAAGAAGCCCTGCCCCTCGGAACCCGCCTCAAATGTTACTTTCCGTCATTGTAGTGTTAAATGCAGCGTGGAAGGCAGGAAAGAAGTCATCCTTTAATATGAGAAATATGAGCCTGCATCATATCTTCAATTTGCCGACCATAGGCCTGCTTTAACGGGCCGAAACAGCCAACATCAAGTGGCTGGAGTAGATGAGAAGAGTGAGCAGGCATACAAAGCGTAATAATGTTGTGTTCCTTGCAGTACTCCTCAAACTCATCTGAGTGGTGGCTCTCATGACCATCAAGGACTAACAAGCGATAACCACCAACACTCCGGGCCTTTGTATGCTTCTCAAAGTGCTGAATCCAATCCATGCCTCTCTCGTTTGTAGTCCAGCCATTTTCAGTAACAGAAATCACCCAATCGCTTGAAAATCCACTATTCTCATACCAAGATGTAAGGTGGTTTTTGCCTGCAACAATGATAAATGGTGGTACTGCCCAACCTTGAGAACTAATGCCTTGGATTACTGTAACCCATTCCCGATTACCAGGCTGTACCTTCTTTGCTTTTGCCCGCCCGTCTGAGCTTGTTACAACCATAGCAGTTGAGATAACGCCCATCATAAACCCAGTCTCATCAAAGTTGTAGATATCTGCTTCATCGATACCATATTTCGCAATTGTGTTACGCACAAGCTCAAACCAGCCATTAATAACTTCTGGATCTTCGCACTTAGCCCTCTGGTAGTCGTATTTGCGCTGAAAGCGTGTCTGGAGCTCTACACTCCGCTTAACAAAGTTTGAAGCCCAACGCGACCCAACGCGTGACGCGTCACGTGTTGCAAGTAGTCGACTTGCCATATCTTCAACAACAGACAGCCGAGGAGGAAACCCTTTGGCAGCTAGGTCGAGTATATACTGAACAAGGACGGACTCCTCTAGGTTAGTTAATTTCCGTGAGTTGGCTTGGATATCGCGTCGTGAAGGTACACCTTCTAGACGACGACCTAGCTTGCGGTGGTCCACAGAATAGATCCTAGCAGCAACTCGAAGGCGTAACTTTGGGTCGCTTTGCATAGCCTGGATAGCTAGCACTAATTGGCTTTCATCGTTTTTATGGGGCATGTTTTGTTGTTGAGGAATTTAACATTTAATTGGGGGGTTTGGTCACCGCATCATTTTGGCGCTTTCGCTTGTTTGGCGCTTTCGCTATACATGTACGTTATACATGCACGTTATTCAAATTCATGAATTATTCAATGAATTTGAATAACGTATTTCACATGCGAGTTGCCCACACAAGCGAGCCGCCCACCCCATTTTACACCTAAAATCATGAATTTTGTAACTAAATATCTCAACAACTATTTAGTAGTAAACTATAAAAATGTATATTTAGCCTTTTATAAGCATTTAAAGTGTCTTATTTGAATTTTAAAGCAATTAGGCTCAAACTGGCCGCCGCTGACTCCGTGTGCTGACATCTTCGCTGGGTCGTGCTATTTTCCTTGTTATCGACGCGGTTTAATCACATTAGAATTGAAGTTTATTGGGGTCTATTAAATATTATTAAATGAAGTAAGTTTGGTGATTTTGCAAGTGAAGTAGGTCATCTTTGCACTGATCATCGGAGTTATCAAAATATAATCATGACGTCAATATTTGATATGCCAAATCAAGGCACTGCTGTAAGGTACAACATGACTGGTAATTCGATATTCATGATAAAATAGCAGCCGTTTGGCTCAGTAACTAGACTTTGCACCCATAAATGGTGGTAGTTCTCCTTGGAAGCTGGCGAAATGTACGCCGCGGACCACTTAAGTATTGATGGTTCACGTCTAGTTTCTATTTGCAGAGCCACGGAGCCTATTAGATAGCCTTACAAAGGTATCACGAACGTATTCACAACACCGAAGTGAAATGTAATGCCCGAGTTGCAATACTAGGGGTCTCAACAGTGTGATGTCAACCACCCCACGGCAGGTGCTGTCCGCGGGCCGCACCGAACTTAGTGCCCGATGCGCCATCCCCCCAACGCGATACCTTAATACTAGGCCAACTATTAGAGCAAAATATTTGGCAGGATGTGCTTCTCTATACATCGCTACCCAGTTCATACTATCAATATCGCCTTGGCTTGATCATGCCTCACGACCCCTGTAAAGACACCCGTCGAATATTTCGCCTTGTCTCCCTCTTTCCACCTCACTAAGCCAGGAGAGCCAAATATCCACCTAATGCTAGACGCAGCAAATAACTCGACATACTGGCGTTCATTCAGGGGTTTTAATGGAAAAAATAAGCCGTCCTCGCATATCACGGGTGCTTGGGTACCACTAAAACGCATCTGCTTCAAAGCCTTTAACATTGCTTCGCCAAAACTGAGCTTCTCACCCTCAGTGTGCTTGAAGAATCCCTTGCTAGCCGCCCCGGGTTGAGTCAGGTCCTTTGGTCGGTACAGCCAGTTCTCCAGCAATCGCCCAACTTCTTCACCTAGAGCTTCCGACTGCTGTAGTCGAATCATATTATCAAGCCAGAATCTCAGACTGTGCCCGGTCTGAGTCGTGCCAAATGGTTCTCCCCAGCTACTCCAACTTAGCAGTGGGATCAGGTGCACTGGTTTTGACAGATCGGTTTGAACTTGCTTGGGGTTAGGGCGCCATTGTAAGCCAAGAGTCTCGTCCCTTTTGTCGGTTGTGTATATGAACGAGTAGTCATTGTTAGCCTCGCAAGTGGCCATAACTTTCTCGGATAGGTCAGACAATGACATAGTCGGAGGTCCCCAAGACACTTCTTGAGTTAATGCGCCAAGAGAGGCCAGCAACCTATTTGCTGGAAAAAACGGATCATACGTTTGGCAAGCCATATTTGCTAACACCTGAAATACTGAGCGGCCAAGGTAACTCGAGGTTGCCAAATCCGCTAAGACATCCTCGAACGTGTTGAGGGTTGGAAACTCGATAAGTGATTCGCTAGTTGTCTTGTCGTTGCGCTTTTTCCACTGGTCTAGGGAGAATCCTGTGCAGTTGAAGAACCTTTCCCCTTTTACGATGTAGTCGTAGCCTTCGGGGTGTATTGGCGCAAAATGGATGTTACGGGCATTGACGAGCTCTTGGTATGTCCAGACGCTGGTGATCCAGTCACCCTCTAGCGCCTGCATATCATCATACGAGAGAGCATCAGGAGTTGTTCCCGAGGATGCTTCTAGGATGATCTTCCAGGCGGGATCTTGGATGATAATTATCACCGATTCCGCGGCGCTGTAGATGTGACCCATATTTCTGATGGTCAGTAAATACATCTTGCAGCAGCATGTCTCGGAAACGGACCTTTCAAGCGTTCCGTATCGGTCCGGGCCATCGGAGTACGGGACACAGAGGGCATCTATCCAAAACCCCTCTTCAATCGGACCATCTGCCTCGAAACCCGATGCCTTAATAGCTCTAATAGCGGCGATTAGAGCAGGACGAGTCTTGTCCGGAATACTTATCTCGTTATCGAAGAAGCTGCCAGGCTTCTCACGGCCTTGCCCCCATACGTACGAAATGCAATGAAACTTCACGCTGCGAGCATCTTTGATATCGAGCGGTTCTGATACATGCCACAGCTGGCCATTGAGCTCTTCGACGCCCCTGTCGCCTTTATTTCTGCTGTCGCCAGGTTTCAAGGGGACTACAAGTTGTAACTTCATTGCTTAGAAAACATACCAGGTCTCTAGAGTTTTGAATCGAATTGCCAGATGCTATCCGATGGACAAAGTCTGGAAAGACATCAGCAACGCTGGGCTGGTGATTTTTGCGGGGTTGATTAGGCCCTTGCCCCTGGATGAGAACCCCACAAGGAGAGGGCGTGGAGTTTCTCGAGGATGGCGCTCAGCTTTGTGCTGGCGACGATGGAGGAGGCGTTGAAGGACATGGTTTCTAGCAATAGTCTCAGGGAGTATGGCGATAGTAGGTTTCTTCGGGAGCAGATAGAGATACCATCCGGTCAAGAAACACCTCTCTCCACGTCGGTCCCTAGAAAACCGCAACGTTATAGTTATGTCTCGGGTCATCCGCCCACCGATTGCTCCCTTGGCGAGTCAAGCACCACCAACGATCGACCACGGCGGCCGGCGAATCACTTTCCGCCGCCCGCCACCCCACTGAACCCTCCCCAACATAAAAAAAACGACCAAAATATTATCATCTACGACAACAACACCACGTCCAACGTCAGGAATGGCAAAAGAATTGACCAGGCTGGGGTTCGATCCCAGGACCTTTTCGGTACATTAGAAATGTTAACGAAACGTGATAACCAACTACACCACCCGGCCAATGGATGTGCTCCCATACGGATTTGAACCGTAGACCACGTTATCACATGATCACCATATCTTACTAGTGCCGCACTCTACCAACTGAGCTACGAGAGCTGATTGTTGAGGTGAGAAAGCGTATTTGAAATTATGAGTATCATCGATTTGGCCGGTGGAGCATACGCCATCTTACATTATATAAAGCATTCTCGATCGTACTATACAGCTATCCCCAAGCCATCGCAACGCCAACCCATGCATTCAATCCATACGCCTTCAAGCCATATCATACTCCCTCAGTACTACTCACACTTCCCTTCTTCCTCAACCCACTCCCAACTCCCATCCACCCATCTCTCACCCTCACCTGCCCCAACCTCCGACTCAGCGTCGAGTAATTCAACTGCGCCTGCCCCATCGCCTGCCCCATCGTCCCCCTCGGTGTCTTCGCCGGCGGCACCTCCGCCCTACTGCCCCTCGCACCGTCCCAATCACTCCCCTCATCCCACTCCTCCGTTAACCGCCGCGGCGGCACCTTCGCCCGCCTCGCCTCCTTCTTACGCATCTTCTCCAGCGCTCCCATCATCACCTCCCAGCTCTCTACGACGCCCATTCCGGCCCGGCGCGTGCAGTTGCAGTCGCATCCCCCGGCGCATGTCATGTCGTCTTTTGTTGCCTCCTCGTCGTCCCATGAGGAGAGGTAGGCGTCGAGACAGATCTGGTGCGATGCGCAGCCGCAGGACAGACAGGCAGCGTAGTCGCCGGTGATGGGCTCGATGCAGATGACGCATTTAAGCTGCCGCTTCGTCATTTTGCAGCGCTCGCAGCGACCGACTGCGCCGCCAAGAGTGGAGGTTGAAGAGGAATTGAGAGGTTCGAGGCGATGCTCGTGCTTGAGGCAGTATCCCGTGATGGAGAGGCCGCGGTCCGAGATAGGCTGGTGGGTGTCCTGTTTGCCGAGGAGTATTGGTGAGGGCGGCATGTCATGGTCCACAGAATGGATCGATGCCGCATTCGGTTTTGAGAATGGTGGCGATGGGGAACCAGGGGTGAAGTATTCTAGCAGTGAGTCAAATTTGAGGATTTCCAACCTAGTGAAGGGAAGAGACCAAGCAAAGAGCATCTCGGCATATAGCATGCGGTAGCTTTTAAATACCGCAGTGTGCTCGAACTCGAGAAGTGGCGTCGACATGCAACTTTCGTCGTCAAAGGCGCTCTGATTATGCATCGTGACGCTAATACCGGTCACTGTCACTAAGGTTTCATTCACGGTAGTACTGTCGTCATCAGAATACGTCGACTTGGCATACGGCGACTTTTCTCGGACGCTTTCGAGATATGTTGTATTACCCCACGTCACGGCGCTAGGCGTCAGAGTGCTGATCATGCTCTCTACTGGACTGGGGCGCTTGCGATTCGGAGGGGATGAGGAACCTGTGTTGTAGAAAGGGTTCTTCAAATTCGAAGCAAAGCTGGATGCAAGGCCAGAGTTGGCACGCTGCAGTAACCGCCTATCATCCGGGGATGTTGACAAGCTTTGGGACTGTAGGTGTAGCTTCTCATGGAGCTTCTCCAAGCTGCCTCCTGTAGACCTCAGAGGGGGGGTTTCGCCACAAGAGAATGAGGCAGACGCAGGATCACTGCTCCACGGCCCATTTGACGATCCGAGAGAGCCATAAAATGGAGTGAGAGCTGCCCTTGGAGTAGAAGGTATCGAGTTATATGGTGTCTTTTGATATGTGCTCCACACAGCAATATCAGACGGGAAGTAGTCCAAAGAGAACGCAGGCGTCTTCATGGAAAGTGGAGTCTGTGGTTGCGTAGGACGTATCTCTGTGTTTGGTAATGGGTCAACAGTAGATGGTTCGCTGAAGACGCAAGATAGCATCGCCAGCATCTGTATGTCAACCAGCTTCTCGAAATGATCAAAGAGGTCATCAATCAGGCTTTTGGCGAGAGGGCTGTATCCCCACTTGACTCTTCCCGATATGGCAAGGTTCTTCGTGTCAAAGGGCATATCGATGCCGCTGTCATATTGACTGTCACGCCTACAGTGTTTGATCATATCCCGCGCAATAACAAGGATAGGCTCCTTCCGATGCGACTGATCAAGGATCTCGAGAGGTACCTCATGCTGCAGCAACATCCCGGCATATGTCCATAAGTCTGCATGCTCCTGGTGCCCGTACTTCATCGCAATCATCGCGTTGCGGTTGCAAACATCTGTTCCTTCGCCAAACACGGCATATTCCTGAGCCAGCTCAAGCTTCCCCGGCAAATAATCGGACACATCGTACATCGCAATCATGTTTTTAGGCTTCGAAAGCCGCCCCTTACTCAGAGTTCCGGTACCAGTTCCAGCCCCACTCGACTTATTGGACCGATTTGCAGACAGTCCCTTCCGATAACTCGTGCCATGGATCTTTCGCCAGAAATCGAATGCGACGCTGACTTGGAACTGTGAAGAGTCGGAATCGCTCGAGGATTCGCTTCCAGAGCCTTGCGACGAATCTGACTCGAAATCTTCCTCCTCATTGAGCGATGCAAACTTGCTTCTCGGTGGAAGCGACACTGTAGCAAGGCGGGAAAATGTATTGAAGGAAGGCCCGTCTTTGACCCTCGATTTGTCCCACGTGACGGAGCCAAGGAGGGACTTGAACCTCTCTTCTTTCGGTGGAAAGAAGCAGATGAGCTTACCATTGTTGGAGAATCGAGCGCCTGAAAGTCTCGGGAGGGGTACGTTAGCGTGACGCCGACTCGCAACAAGAATCCCCTCTGTTGAGGTTGGATCCAATTCTTGAGACATCATCGCTGAATTGGTCGCTGGTAAGTCATCATCATCTTCGTCGCTAGAGCTCACGTCTGCAATACCGTCAAGATTATCAACGTCGTCAGATCCCTTGAGCCATTGCGTGCTCTCTTCGAGATTGACTTCCCCAAGCAAATAGCAGAGCGCAGCCTCTAGGCAGCCACGGTGACGCCCAATAAATCCGGTAGCAATCTGTTGAACCTCGTGCGAAATCCGCTCGTTGGTATCGTCTGATATCAAAGAGGACTTACCAATATTGAACGTGGGTATTTTGGGCCCGGGATACTGGTTTGGAAACTGTATCGTAGCCTTAATGAACACCGACTCCCCGTCCTTGCCCCACGGACCATTCATCGACGCCGTAACGGAGCGAGTGTCCATATTAACATCGTTGAACGTGACCTTACTGTACTGCTGGTGCACACGGATGATCTCGTCGTGTAGCGACTCCGGCGTGTCCCAATCGCCTTCCATATCGAAATTGGGACTGATGACAGACAGTCGTCGCGCAGGGATTTTGCCCTGCCCATCCTCATCATCGCCACCGCCATTGGCGCTGAACTTGATACCGCTCATCCAGTTGATCTGGCTCCGCCATTCGGAATTCATGGGCTTTCCTCTCATGGTCGATCCATGAACGCCCACCCTGCTCCGAAACCTCTTCGTCGGAGACATCTTCTTAATCTCGTCGCTGAGGACGCTGTATGAATTCTCTTTGTCGTGGCTGCTGCTCAACAGGCGAGGAGCCTTGATCGTAGCAGACTTCTTCTCCATCTCCGCTCGCTCCACGTTTCTAAACGTTTTGTAAATGGCGCCTTTGCGAGTAACATTCAGCTTCTTCGTCATCTGGCTCCCCTTGACATATCCGACATTTTCGAGCAATGAATTCGCCACGCGTTGTAGTTTCAGCTCCTTATCGTCTCCCCAGGATACCAGCTGAAATTCGCGGTTGTCCATTCCATCCTCATTAATACTGCCGCGTGATCTCCATAGGAACTCCTTCACCTGCCGCTCGCCGTGGTTGAATACTGCTACCGCAGGGGCCATTGTATCGGACTCCACGCCCTCCTTTCGCCGGTCATACAAATACAGGTTTCCCGGCGCATTCTGTGGCATCGCCAGGAGACCCCAACCAAAAGGTGTATGTCTAGCACGCCACACCGGAAAAGAAGTCCGAATGACTCGCTCCGGGATAGGCTCTTCCGCAGCAGTGTCCCAGAACTTGATACTCTTATCCAGCGAACACGTAACAATCTGCGTTGCAGAAACACGGTTCCAATCCACACCGTAGATCTTCGAGCTATGCGCCTCAATCGACTTCATCGGGTATGCTCCATGCCGGTCGTCCCAAATTCGCAGCCATCTGTCATGCGATGACGCCAGTATATGCCCCTCCTGCCGATTCCACTTCACCTGCGTCGCGCCCGCGTCCCAATCCACAAATGTCAATGCTGGCCGACGCGGCCTCCGCAGATCCCACGCATTGACGTATCCGTCAACCGCGCATGTCGCCAGGATATCGGGGTGATGGGCTGAGAAGTTGATGTCGGTGATCGCGCGCGTGTGCGCGTGTAGCGTATGTTCGATGGCTCCCTGCCGCGTATCCTCTTGCATGGCAAGGTTCCACACCAGCGCCTTCTGGTTCGCGGTGCAGGCGACCCAGTAGTCGCGGGCGGCGAAGGGCGACCATTGTACGTCGGCGATGTTCCATGATGTGCCATGTCGGAGGTGTCGGGGGGGATTCAGCGGTGAGTCGAGGTCGATGATGTCAAGGCCGGTTTTCCTGTACTACTAGTTAGAATATGGCCGGTATACCTGGACGGAGGACACTCACGAAGCAATAGCTACATCTCGTCCGGAAGGCGAGATTGTCGCGGACCCAATGTCCGTGGCGGACTTTTGAACGTGGATAGAGACATTGGCATCAAATGTACTGCTGTCAAACGCCGACTTAATGCCCTTCTCTTCGCGAATTTTCTCCATCACTCCGCGCCGTCATGCGTCCCTGCCATAGGGCGGAAGCTCACGATGCAGGCCACTCCCCAACTGCGGTCGCGGGTGCTCCAAAGCGCATTGCCTGGCGCCTTATTAATGGACGGAAGCTGTCATGTATGGCGATCTATCACTCTAACCGCAGTATATCTTTTGAGCGCCTTCGAAATTGTATCCTGGGATATAAAGCGTCGCCGATTGCCATCGTGAATCATCCTCCATGATCGTGCTCCCAAGCCGTCCATAAGTAGACTAGCGCCAGTTTGACGGTGACGGGTTTGACCGCAGTCCCGCATAATTTAACAAAGACCTCGAGGCTTACATATACGTCACAGCCACAATTTTCTTTGAAATATTATTCTATCTGTAGGTAAAGCGCTTTTCTATACTATTCTTCTCAAGCTCACCTGTTGCAGCTTCATCCTCTGCCGACACTCACGCGATCGACCACCCCACTACCCCTCCACCTTACCCGCCGATAGGGTACGCGCAGTGAGACACGGAAACCTCACTGAACCCTCCTATCACCTCTTGAAACGACTTCCAGGAGTGGAATATTACAGCAAACTACAAATATGGCCGCGTTACCAAAGCGGATCATCAAGGAGACCGAGCGGCTGATGGCAGAACCGTAAGCCATCACCCCGCGCATGTCAGACTCCACAGCCTGACCTCCTATACAGTGTCCCGGGCATCAGCGCCATCCCTCACGACGACAACCTGCGCTATTTTGATGTTAAGATCCATGGCCCCACACAATCGCCTTATGAGGGTATGTGGCGTCCTATGACTTGCCGGCTTCAGCCATACTGACACAAACCAGGTGGCATTTTCAACCTCGAACTCTTCCTCCCAGACGACTACCCAATGACGCCCCCCAAGATCCGTTTCCTCACCAAGATCTACCACCCCAACATCGACAAGCTCGGCCGCATCTGCCTTGATGTGTTGAAGAGTCAGTCTCATATCCTCCACCAACCTACCCCGCATCTACCCATCCACATACCAAAATACTAACGCACTCCCAAAGGCAACTGGTCTCCAGCTCTCCAAATCCGCACCATCCTCCTCTCCATCCAGGCCCTCCTCGGCGCCCCTAACCCCGATGACCCTCTCGCCCCCGATGTCGCCAAGCGCTGGAAGGAGGATGAGCCCGCCGCCATCGCGACGGCGAGGGAGTGGACGCGCACGCATGCTATGTCATAGGTTGGACGATGCCTGACTGGAAGGCCCACATGCCTAGGGGCGTGGGCTATGGATTATTTGGTTGCAGTTCGAGCATTTGCGGAAGTCGCTGTATTTGTTGGGGAGCAGTAGGGATGCGTAAGTGGAAGTGGGGGTACCTGCTGAGCATTGCCGTTACTGGGACCAGCACCTGGGTTGCTGTTGTTTGAGCGTGTGAAGGGGGAGGGACTGGATGGATAGTTGGCTACGCGCATTTTCTGAGCTGCGGCGTCTGTTCAGCTGGTAGGTGTATAGGGGTTGGCACGCGCGGGCTGTAGCCAGTGGATGGGTTGATGTTGATTGAGATTATCCCTATATTGGGGCAAGGGAAAACATAGGAGAGAGCAATTCATGGGATGTTACTGTCTTTGTGCATATGTGCATGTGTTCGTACATTTATTACGTTATTATGACAATCCCTGCAATACATGCTGACACCTGGTAAATAATCAATGCGCCCTATAGTTCCCGAATAGGGGGATAGGATATGCAATATGCAGTGTTGGCAGTAGTATTTGACTATTACAATATCTATTGCAATATTAACAGGGTATGAGATAGAGTTTTCACCGATCTCTTGTCCTGTAGAAATTGAAGCCTTTAATATAAATACTATTGTATCAAGACAAAATGGACCCTTTAGGCGCATCATCGCCACCCCCTGAATCAAGTGTTCTTTCTAGCCACGATACTCCAGACCTCAAATCGTTCGATCCAGTCACATCCTCCTCTTCTACCAAACGATCTAGACGAAAACCAACAGAAAAGCGTCGGGCGCGGACATCCTTTGTATGGAAGCATATGCCGGGTCCAATTGACACAATATATCAACAGGAAGGCTCTGAGGCTATATACTGGCGTTGAAAATATTGTCCAAAGGAGTACAGAGAGTCTGGTGGTACAGCATTTATTGCAGTTCATCTACAAACTGTACATGAGATTGTTAATAGCCAGGAGCAACAAAACACCCTTTAGCAATTAAGTATCTCTACTGCGATGGCACGAGGCCTTGCACGTTGTTCGGTCTCTTTTAATATAGTCGAAATCTCCGAATTCAGAAACCTCCTTGCATACCTCAATCTAGAGGTCAATAACTACGACTACTCTTACCGGTCAGTACCTTTGGCCAAAGTGACTAACGATTTATAAAGCTCACACCTTCAGCCAATGCCCGTGGACCGAATACTGCCATCATCTCATCTGCCGATTTCTACACACACGACTACAATATCATGAGCATTCAAACCCATCCCCGTCAACACGCTACGCCTCCGGAAAGTTTCACCAGCCTCCCTTTGACCCCTCCCCTAACAGATAAGACGACAACAAGTTTGGTCTCGCGCATTATAGAGGAGATTAAGAATCGGCAGGAGGGACGCAACTTGACGAGTACGCCCTGGGCTGTCTACTTATTAGACCTGAAGGGGTACCAGGAGCTGCAGCACGAACTCCAAAGAGATGAGTCGCTCTGGGGGTTTGCACAGCATAAACTCCGGTATAAAAAACCCTGATCAACCCCCTCTGTCCGATTTTATTACCTAGCTAACACTGCACGTAGATATGATTACTTCCCCTCCACCAGTCGACTTGTTCTTCGAATGCCCACCACCTTGCACGAAGAATTCATTACAAGCATTGTCGAGGAGATACAAGTCCAATTGAAGTCTATCCAAAACGCCTCAGCAGAGTTCGCAAAGGAGATCAGGTCTGGCGGATCAGCATCAATCAAGTTTGCAGACGAAGAGTATGGCAAGCATGATCCTGACGCGCAGTTCCGGCACTCGAAGGCCCAATTTCCAGGAATCGTGATTGAGGTGTCGTATTCGCAGAAGAGAAAGGACCTCGAGCGTCTTGCGGACGATTATATCCTTGGGTCTGATAGCGATATTCTGGTAGTTGTGGGCTTGGATATCGAATACAAAACTGGCAAGAAGGCAACCTTATCTGTCTGGAGGCCGAACATTATCACAAATGAAGCTGGGGAGAAAGAACTAGTCGCCCAACTGATCGTCGCGAACCAGGGTTGCATACACCATTGTCACCTACGTCCTATGCTAACCTGATGCAGGTTTTCCGTGATAGCAATAGCAATCCAAGCGCATCTCGCACAGGAGGCCTTCGGCTACGCCTTCGAGACTTCGCCACGGAAGCCCTGGCTGGGGCTGAACTACAGCTACGCGATCCAATTATCCTCCCTACCAACAAACTATATTCGCTTCTCGAGCAAGCGGAGGATGCAGCATCCGTCGTCGGGCAGCAGACCGGCATCGTCACAACTGATAAGCCCTGGGTAAGAAGCGGCGCAGGGAATCCTCGCCGCTAGAGGAGCTTTCTCGGAGATATGAGAAACGCTTTCGCGCGGACGAGAGTAGAGCAGTAGATCAAACAACAAGAGACGATTCTTCGTACAAGACGGGTTCAACATCTGAGGGAGAAGCCAGTTGATTTGTGGTAGAGCGAAAGAATAACCTTCTTGTTCACACTCGCGGCCATTAAATCGATTCATATGAGTCTTCAAATTCCCCAACTGTGTAAACGACTTCCCGCATCCATCCAAGCGGCACACATACCTCTTCGCCGCGCGCCCCGGCATCATGCACTGCAGCATGCGCGCGCATATTGCCGCGCTGGGCGAAGGTGTTGCCGCAGGTGGGGCAGGCGAAGGTGCGCTTGCCGGTGTGGCGGCGGAGGTGAGTCTTGAGGTTGCCGAGTTGAGAGAAGGCGTGCGGCACGCAGGATGGGTGCAGGTCTATTGGGGGTGTTGTTAGTATCTGTCGTTCTGGTGGGTATTGTGCATTGCGCGTGGGAGGGGGGGTTGGTTGTAAGTGGTGTGAAAGAAAGGAGGAAAGCGAAGAAGAAGAAAAAGGGGCGCATATGGTTTCGCCCCCCTATGAGCCCTGATATGGATCTTGGCTCGTGGTAGGACCGGAAGCTGGTGCGTTTGCTGCTGTTGCTGGCTTCCGCGGCTACTGTCCAGGCCATCAGCGCCCTTCATGCTGCCCAGCGCATATACAGCAGCGCCACCAAGGCCAAGGATGCCCCTATCCCCAAGAAGAAGAAGGGTGCTGCCAAGCCGGCCGAGGATAAGGGAGTCGCTGGACCTCCTAAGGAGAAGGAAATCGCTGGGCTTTCTGAGGTCGTCGCGCGTAATGCTGACGATCCCCGCCAGGCTCTCCTACATCACGCCGAGAGCCTTGTGGAGCTGGGCAAGGCGAAGACTGAAGGTCTCAAGGCCGCCACTCAGGTCTTCCACGCTTCTGTCGACAAGGTCCTTGATGCCTACCAATCTGGGCTCGAGGAGTACGTCAACACCATGAAGTTCCTCGTAGGTACGTTGCCTCCTTTTCCTTTGGATACTTGCTGACCCCATGGGTAGGTGGAGCCCCGCACCTAGTGATGCCAGCCCCTCCCCTCATGCCCTCGCCAATCGATCTGGAGCGTGCTCTGTTGGAGCGCTGATTTGTGAAGCCTAGCAAGTGGAAGTTCAACACTCCACCGCCAGCACCCCCAGGGCCTCCTTCAGTCCCGTCCTTGTCGTTTGGGGACGAGGGTGCGATCCCTGTTTCTTCGTCATCCTCGTCTGAGTCCGAGTCCTCGTCGTCGTCCTCATCTGAGGACCAGGGTTCTGATTGATCGTTCCCATAGTTTGTAGGGCCAATACCATTACGTTGTCCCATCCTTGCTTCCTTGTGCATGCTTCCTGTGATATGCCTCGATCAACGGTAGCCCTACGTCATGTTTTGGCACCCATTGGTCGTCTGCGGCTGTATAACCAGCCCATCTAATAAGGTACTCCTCTCTCTGGCCCCTGCCTCGTTTGATTATCCTGTGGTCTAGGACCGCTTCTACTTGGTATTCTTCCTCACCGTCCACAATTTCTGGGCTAGGTGGAGGGTTGGGTTCCTCTGTGTTTTTCCAATACCTTTCTAGTAAGGACACGTGGAACACGTTGTGGATCGCCTTATACCTTGGCGGTAGCTTCAACTGGTAAGCCTGCTTACCGATGCGCTGGGTGATCTCATACGGGCCAAGCCAGCGGTGCCCAAGCTTCCTACTTGGCTGGGTGGTTCTGATATTCTTGGCCGAAAGCCATACTTTCTCTCCTACCACGTACTGCATTGGCTTGTGCAGCTTGTTGTAGCCTCGTATTTGGGCTTCCTTCGTCTGTTTCCACGCCTCTTCGAGCTCCTGTCGCAATTCTAGGATCAGGTTGATGCGATCTTTCGCGACTGGCACTTCCCTTCTGGTGGGGTCGTCCTCGATCCCTTGTCTTAGGTCTATATTGATGCCGTATCGGGCCTGGTTTGGCGACATCTGGATGGAATCGTGGAAGGCGTTATTGTAGGTCAATTCCGCGAAGTGGAGGAGTTCCACCCAGTTGTCTTGGTGCTGATTACAGTGGATCCGCAAGTAGGCTTCGATATTCTGATTCTGCCTCTCGGTCTGGCCGTCGGATTGAGGGTGGAAAGCGGTCGATAGGTTACGCCTTAATCGTTGGTTCTCAAACCACCGCCTGGAGGCAGTTGGCGAAAGCGAACTGGGACGCGAAAGCGATTGTGGGACACTTCGGGAGCGGACTCACGACGCGACACGACCGACCATGAACATGACCGACAACGAGCACAACTACAACCACAACTATGCCGGTAGTTGAAGTAAATAAAAATGAAGCTCTTTTAAATGCCATTGAATTTTTAAATGAAAACCCAACAGAGAAGAGTGCTACAGTAGCACGGATGTACAGAGTAAACCCAAGTACGCTCCGGACTATACGACTACGACAACGACGCGCATCACCACAACGCACCGCTGTGCCACGCGGAGGCCAGAACAGAGTACTGTCTGATGTACAAGTTACAGCTATACAAAGATACATCCAACGCTCGTACGAAAATGGGTACGGTGCAACTAAGCCTATGGTGTTCAGTGCCATCTGCCAACTACGTGCAGCAGAAACTCCAACACGTGCACCACCATCACAACGGTGGTTCCAGACATGGATTAAGACACAACAACACAACTTCCGTACAATAAAAACCCGGCCAATTGAAGCAGCACGGGTTGCATCTCATGAAGTATCAGCTATTAAAGAATGGTTTTATGAATTTAAAGATGTGTGTAATCAACTAGATATTACTGCAGGTGATATCTACAACTTTGATGAAGTTGGAGGTGAACATGTGTTGGTACCATCTGCAGTAAAGGAGGTAAGTTGTTTCTACTTATCTTACTTTATATTATTCTAATATTTATAGCTTTATATACAAGCTCCAGAGAACAGACAAAGTCTTACAGTTATAGAGACAATTTCAGCTGCTGGCATTGCACTTCCACCGTTCCTTATTATACAAGGAAAATTACACATGGAAAGTTGGTACCATGACAATCTACACGGTGATGAGAAAGTTGCAGTATCCGATTCCGGATATACAAACTCTGAGCTTGCAATGGAATATCTACAGCATTTTATTCAACATACACCGTCTATAAGAACGAAATTGTTAATAATGGACTCTCATGTCTCACATGAAGTTCCAGAGTTTATAATACTTGCACATCAACACAATATACACTTACATGTGTTTCCGTCTCATCTTACGCATATTCTACAACCGCTAGATGTTACTGTGTTTGCACAATATAAACATTGGCACCGACGTGCAATTCAACAAGCAATCCGGAATTTTGATACAGATTATAATGTTATATCTTTCTTTAGAGACTTGTCTACTATCCGTAAGCAGACATTTACAAAGGGTAACTGTATCAAGTCTTTTAGAGATGCAGGTATTTGGCCACCTAACTATGAAAAGATTCAAGAGAAGGTTGCTATATATGCAAAACCAGAAGTTTTAGAAACACCACAACGCGCATTTCAAGCAAGTTATGATCTTTCAACATGGAGTCAAACATTTGATAAGATCCTTAGTTCACCGTCACGGCAAAAGTGGGCATCTTCTTATACTGAAATCCAAACTCAGTTAACAGAGGCTGAGCTGTTCCAGTCAGAGCTTGTACAAATTACTACTATTATGACTGAGCAACGACAGCGGGAAGGTTAGAAGTCGGAAATCCATTCAAAAAGGCGGTGCTATTACAGTTGAACATGCACGGCAAAGGATTTATGAGAAGAAGGTAAAGGAGCAACTTTTAGAAGAAGCACGGGAGAAAAGAGAGAGAACACGCATGGTGAACGTTGAGCGTAAGATGCAGCTCCGTGCTGGCATCGATGCACGGAAGGCAGAACGTACACGGAAAAAGGACCTACATGAATTTCAAAAAAGTAACCCAGACACGGAGCCACCAATTGGCTTACGTACAGAAATCATTGACCCGGACGTTACACAGAAGAAACGTGAGGAGGAGGAGGAGGCGGACCGACTGTTAGCCATCGAGGAGAGTGGGTACGTGAACTTTGCAGGCTTGGACTACGACATGATTCACGATGCAAGTGACGGTGGCTATGATGATCAATCACTGCCTGACAATATTGATCCAAATCTTTTTTAATTATTTAATTCTATAACTTATATATATTTACAGCATTGTTACGTTGTCAGTCGTGTTCATGGTCGGTCGTGTCGCGTCGCGAGTCCGCTCCCGAAGTGTCCCACAATCGCTTTCGCGTCCCAGTTCGCTTTCGCCAACCGCCTCCAGGCGGTGGTTTGAGAACCAACGATTACTTTGAGGTGAAAACAGAACGCTGACCAGAAGTGACAGGTGAACACACTCCCTCGATCCGTGATTATTTCGGCTGGGATTCCAAAGTCCTTTACCCAGAACGCAAGGAAGAGGCGCGACAGCTCTGGGGCCGTGATGGTTTTCCTACAGGGTATATATTTGGACACCTTAGTATAACGATCAACAATCACAAGGATGGAGTCTGAAGCCTTGCCTTGATCCGCCCCTACGCTTGGGGGCAGATCCGTGATAAAGTCCATACTTATGGATTCAAATGGTTTCGAGGGCATTCTTAAGGCCTGCATTTCGCCGTATGGCCTATGTGTTACGACGGAACAAGAAGGCTGGCCAACTACAGGACAGGAAGGAGGGAGGTCGCATG